TGGGACCAGGAAGCAGAGCTGGTGTCTTACACACTTCTGTGCGCTTTCTTTAGAACAGTCACCCACCCAAAACCCCATAGAGACTGTGTCTGTCCCCCGACCACCTAAATTATTTAAAGAAATAAAAACAATAGGGGTTAAACATAAAAATCTAATAAAAATTAAGACTAACTCCTTAGTAGCACAAAATAAGAGTATGAAATGTGGACTGTTTAATATCAGGTCTCTGTCCTCTAAAGCTGTTTTAGTGAATGAATAAATATCAGATTATGATATTGATTTACTTTGTCTTACTGAGACCTGGTTGTCCCACGAGGAGTATGTTAGCCTAAATGAATCCACCCCCCCCCAGTCATATTAATACTCACATTCCTCGAGGCACTGGCCGAGGAGGTGAAGAAGCAGCCATATATGATATGATATATGAGTGTTTTAATGGACCCTAAACCTAAACTAAATTATAATTCATTTGAAAGCCTTGTTCTTAGTCTTTCTCACCCATCCTGGAAAACACTGCAGCCAGTTCTATTTGTTATAGTGTACTGCGCTCCTGGACCGTACTCTGATTTTATATCTGAATTCTCAGAGTTTTTATCTAGTTTAGTCCTTAAAGTAATTATTGTAGGTGATTTTAATATTCATGTGGATGTTAACAATGACAGTCTTAGTAACGCATTTATATCATTAATAGACTCAATTGGCTTCTGTTAGAGTGTAAATAAACCAACTCATTGTTTTAGTCACACTCTTGACCTTGTTTTATCATATGGCATTGATATTGAACATTTAATAGTCTTCCCCAGAATCCTTTCCTATCTGACCATTATTTAATAACTTGAATTCATACTATTAGATTATAAGCCATTAGGCAAAACTTCCTACAGCAGATGTCTATCTGACAGTGCTGTAGCTAAATTTAAGGAGGAGATTCCTTCGGTGTTTAATTCAATGCCATGTCTGAATTTCCTATAATAACTTTAGTCCCTCCGAAATTGATAATCTTGTTGATAGTGCTGCAGGCTCACTACAAAGAACATTAGATTCTATCGCTCCTATAAAAAGGAAATTATTAAAACACAGGAGACTAGCACCGTGGTACAACCACCAAACCCGCCAGTTAAAGCAAATAGCTAGGAAATCTGAAAGGAAATGGCGCTCTTCCAAATTATCAGAATATTGCTCAATTTGGCAAGATAATCTCAAAACCTACAGAAAGGCCCTCTGTAACACCAGAGGAGCCTATTATTCAGCACTAATAGAAGAAAATAAGAACAACCCTAGGTTCCTCTTTAGCACTGTAGCCAGGCTGACAGAGAGTCACAGCTCTATTGAGCCACATATCCCCATAAACTTAAGTAGCAACGACTTTATGAGCTTCTTTTATAATAAAATTATTACTATTAGAGAGAAAATTAATCACCAACTGCCATCAACAGTTATCAGTGGCTCTCCAAGTTCAGGAACTTTAACTAATGTAAACTTAGATATATATTAAGACTGTTTTTCTGCTATTGGTCAATAATTTCTACATCGAAGCCATCAACCTGTCTGTTGGACCCGATCCCAACTAGGCTGCTTAAAGAAGTCGGCACTACTTTACTGGATATGATTAATCTTTCTTTATTATCAGGATATGTACCACAATCCTTTAAAGTAGCTGTAATTAAACCCCTTCTTAAAAAGCCCACTCTTGACCCAAGGGTTTTAGCCAATTATAGACCAATCTCTAACCTCCCCTTCCTTTCTAAGATTCTGGAGAAAGTAGTCGCCAAAGAGTTGTGTGACTTTTTATATAACAATAGTTTATTTGAGGATTTTCAGTCAGGATTTAGAGTTCATCACAGCACAGAGACAGCTCTGGTTAAAGTTAATAATGACCTTCTGATTGCTTCAGACAATGGACTTGTCTCTATACTTGTATTATTAGATTTTAGTGCTGCATTTGACACCATTGACCATGATATTCTTTTACAGAGACTTGAGCATCAAATTGGCATTACCGCACTAAGCTTAGTGTTTAAGTCATATTTATCAGATTGTTCGCAGTTTGTACATGTTAACGATGAATCTTCAATAAATACTACAGTTAGTCATGGAGTTCCACAAAGTTGTGTACTTGGACCAATACTATTTACTTTATATATGCTCCCTTTAGGCAACATTATTAGGAATCACTCCATTAACTTTCACTGTTATGCAGATGTTACGCAGTTATATCTATCAATCAAGCCCAATGAAATTAATCAATTATCTAAATTACAAACATGTCTTAAGGACATAAAATCCTGGATGAGCTGTAATTTTCTGATGTTAAACTCAGAAAAAAACGAAATTCTTGTACTTGGCCCCAAAAATCTTAGAGACTCACTGTCTAAAGATATAGTTACTTTAGAAGGCATTACCTTGGCCTCTAGCACCACTGTCAGGAATCTTGGAGTTATCTTTGATCAGGATTTGTCATTTAAATCCCACATGAAGCAGACCTCTAGGACTGCCTTCTTTCATTTACGTAATATTACAAAAATTAGACACATCCTATCACAGACAGATGCAGAAAAACTAATCCATGCATTTTTTACTTCAAGGCTGGATTACTGCAACTCTTTATTATCAGGTTGCCCCAATAAGTCCATTAAAAAACGCTCCAATTAATTCAAAACGCTGCAGCACGAGTACTGACAGGAACTAGAAAAAGAGATCACAGCTCTCCTGTACTAGCTTCTCTGCACTGGCTCCCTGTAAAATTTAGAATAGAATTTAAAATTCTCCTCCTCACCTATAAAGCTCTTCATGGTCAGGCCCCTTCATATCTTAAAGAGCTCATAGTACCCTATTACCCCACTAGAACACTACGTTCTCTGAATGCAGGGCTACTTGTGGTTCCTATAGTCTCTAAAAGCAGAACAGGAGCCAGAGCCTTCAGTTACCAAGCTTATAGTTAGGGCTGGATCAGGTGAGTCCTGAACCATCCCTTAGTTATGCTGCTATAGGCCTAGACTATCGGGGGATTTCCCATGGTGCACTGAGCTCCTCTCTTCCTCTCTCTTTCTGCACTCATTCAGGTCCCATTAATGCATGTTACTAACTTCACTTCTTCCCCTGAGTTCTTGTGCTTTCTTGTCTCGCAGGTTCTTATCGATCCTGGTGGAGCCTCCTGCCCGGTCCTGCTAGATTGCCATTACCAATACTGTTGTTGCTGTGCACCTGTCTGTCTGTCTGTCTGTCTGTCTGTCTCTCTCTCTCTCTCTCTCTGTCTGTCTGTCTCGCTCTCTCACTCAACTGGTCGAGACAGACGACCACCCACCTAGAGCCGAAGGATCTGTCCTAGGTTTCTGCCTTTTAACAGGCAGTTTTTCCTTGCCCTTGTCGCCAAGTGCTTGCTCATGGTGGTACTGTTGGGTCTCTGTAATGTTATAAAGAGTTCGGTCTAGACCTGCTCTATTTGAAAAGTGTCCTGAGATAACTTCTGTTATGAATTGGCGCTATACAAATAAAATTGAATTGAATTGAACTGAATTGACTGATTGACTGTCAGGGTTACGACACTGCCTCTCTCCTGCTCTCTCTCCTGCTCTGGCTCCTCCTTTTAAGTACTACAGGGACTATGTCAGATTTCAAAAAATGTTTATTTTAAAAATATGTCGTTAATGTATGTAAATTAATGTATTGACAGACGGTGAGCACTCAGGGTTTAAAAAGATATAATTCAAAAAGTAAATAATTGTGCCTTACGTTGTTTTCGTGATTATTACGAAATATTTTTATTTGCCACTAGACACTTGTCACGACTTTTCAGCTGTTGTACCATGTGAAACAATCAACACATGGTAAAAAACTTTATTGCACCCATTGCAAGAAGAAACAAGAGGGAAAGTAGATAATGGAATTGGAGATAAAGTTTGTGGATTATCTTTGACGTGACCCTGACGTGGAAAACGTAGAGTCACTGTAAGAAATAACGTTATTTATTTGGATGTTTGCTGTGATGACCTCTGCTGAGGAATGAAAAAATGTATGGTGTGGAATAACTCGATTTTGAGGTGCATACTTTCAGGCCTGGGTGTTTGTGATGGTTGCAGCTGTTTGTTTTTTTCCTGACAGTCGTTTTGGCTGCTATATTGTGTAGCTGCTATATTGTTAAGCCATCCCCCAACAGATAAATCCTGTGCAGCAGAGATGCTATGGAAATCTTTCGACTAGAGGACATGATTCAGACTGGTTGTCGGGAGGTTGATGCTAGTACCTGTTAACGGATGTGGATTGCTAGATCCCTACCTGTCTTCCCTGCCCGGCTGGCGCGTTCTAGCGCCCTTTCCCTACGGCAGACTGATGCCTCTGTACTACTATGTGTTGGGCGGTCAGTAGAGTCCGGGTTATAGTAGGTAAAGTTAAAACAGACGGAGCAGCTTCAGGTTTAAGTCTGTTGGTCTGGTGAACCACTAGTTTACCGCACTCAAAGGTCTTCTCCTCTATATAATCTTCCACCCGAAAATGGTCGCTGCAAACGCCGGAGTCATCGCTCATGGGTAGGCTCGTTCTCTTCAGTGCCGCTAGCCAGCGCAGCAGCACCGTTCTCTGTTTCAGCGGCACTTTATGAAAATTTACTGTTTTGTCCTTGGCTTTCACCCTATAAAACTCATTTTTACAGCCTGGAGCAATACAATAGTGGCCTCCCTTTTGTCTTCTTCTGTGCTGTGGCTCTTCAGTCTCCATCTTTAAGTGTCTTTGTCTTTCCGTGTCTCTGTCATTCAGTGTCTGTCTTTCCGTGTCTCTGTCATTCAGTGTCTGTCTTTCTGTGTGTCTGTCTTTCACTCTATGTTGGGTCTGTGGAACATATACAACCAACCCTCTGATGTTGTAGGTCAGAGTGCTACAAGATGGCGGCGCCCTTGCCTCAAAAAACAAAACAGGACTCCTTTTTTATCTAATATGCTTACATTTGTCACTTTTGTTATAAAATTATTGAGTAGAGGTTAAATCCATTTAGTAAATCAGCTTACCTCTCAAACAGAGAAAAGACAAGAAGTCCTCAGTCTTGGGTCGACGTCTAGTCAGACAGGAGACTACAGCCAGGTTGTGGGTGTGGTTACTTCGTGCTGAAGTCATCAACACTGGTGGTCCTGGAGAGCTTGGAGGCGACTGGGCAAACTTCCTCTGTGCTTGCAGCCTTGGTCTGCACATGCATGTGCATCAGTTTATTAGGAACACCTAGCTGAAACGAATGTAATCTAATACGTCCTAGTAGAATCAGTCCTGTAATACATCCTAACCTCATGGAGTTTTTGATTCAACTGTATAAAGTGTTTATTGCATTAAACTAAACTAAACTATTATTTTGTCCATCCCATTTATATCAATGGCTAAATAAGAGAAACACATCTGTGTCTCTAATTCAGTACAATTGCACAGCACCACAGACTTTCTAATAGCAGGACTATTAAAACTACAACTGGCAGGGTCAAATTTTTTCTTTTAGAGAATATCACAAATGCAATCACAGTTTTTCCCTGCCCCTGATGCCAAGTGCTTGCTCATGGTGGGAATTATATATATGTATATGTATGTGTGTGTGTTGTGTGTGTGTGTGTGTGTGTGTGTGTGTGTGTGGGCGCATGTATATATAGATATATATATATATATATACACACACACACACACACACACTTGTGTTGGACGACACAAGTAGTTATCATGACTACTGCTTGATTTGCATTTGTCATCTGATCAGCACATAGGAATGAACATGCAAAAACACACTACAGCAGCAGACCTCTTGGTGGCAGGGTCATCCTTGTCATGATGGATGCTAGCAGGGCAGCACTGTTGAGGGTGTGTTCGTGAGTGCCAGCTCCAGCTTGGACTAGCTGACAGGAGGGACTGACACCGGTTGATGCCATTAACCAGGGAGCCTGGAGCCACAGAACAGTTGAAATGTGAGTTACTTACATGAAACAATTTTAGTACTTTGAAAAATGATCTACACATACAATGTCAATGTATATCTGCATGGATAAAACTATAACAAAAACAGCAAATGACATACTAAAAATAATGACAGGAAAGAGCTGGTGTTAACAGCTAAGCGAATATCAAAGCCTCATTTCATGGACACTTCAAATAAACCAAAGAAGTACATAAGCTTCAGCCCCAAATACATCTAAGTTGCAGCTGTGTATGTTTGTTGAACACAAGCAGTCAATTAGACAAGCTGGAAAACAGACTTATTTTAAGAAAAAAATATGGTTAAAATTAAATGTAAAAAAAAACAACTGTACATTGTAAACCTCAATCACAGCTTACAGACTCACTTCCTGACTTAACTGACAGAATTTACTTAATGTAGTTGTATGCACAGTTTTCCTGTGCAATGAGGAATTCTTAGTGAAATTACAAGTATGTTCACTTTCTGTTTGACCTCCAAGTAAAGTGGTTTGGATAGTTTGGATAAACCGTTGCCTAGTTTCCAACCTATCTGACACGTCATGTTTTATGTCACGTCAGACTCTTTTTAGTTATGCCACGATGTTCCCATATCTCAAACTTAGTGAGTACAAGGCTGTGATTACTGATTTATAAAAAAAATTAAAATAAGAGCAGGTAACTATCTGGAATTATCTTTAGAAGGAACTTCTACAGTAGCGGCAGTACTACTTAATTACTAACAGAGGAGGAGTATTGATGGTACTGACCACTGAGGCTTGTGGGAGTGTGTGACCTCAGTGTCCTGGACGGGACAGGAGTGCTCAGCAGTGTCTGTGTGTTTCTCACTGAGTGTTTGTTTTGAGTACTATGCATGTGTTTTGCAGTTTCTATATATGTCGAGTTCAGCAGCGACAGTCTATTTTGTGATTTCTGTGAGCGTGTCCTGGTTGATACAGACTTCTTCAGGAACATGTGTGTATTTTCTTGTAGGTGTGTGTGCTGTTCAGTGTGTGTAATTTTCCCTGTACACATTTTTGATTTTACTTGCATGTTCTGTAGTGTGTGAGTACATTTATTTTTTGGTGTGTGCGAGTCCTGAGACAAGTTTGTTTTTTGTCCTTTGTTGTTGTGTTCATGAGGGCGTAGGTGTTTGGACATGTGCATAGTTTGTGCACTGTGTGTGTTTTTTCGTGTGTGTACATTCTGTGGTCTGTGTGTGACTTTTTGTTGTGACGTGTGCACACTCTGTCTTGTCTGTATGCTTTTTTGTCTGTGCGTGTTAGGTAGTGTCTGCGTCTTTTGCAGTAAAAGTGTATTTTTTGACACGCGTTTGTGTGTGTGTGTGCGTGTGTGAATGTGTGAGTGATTGTGTGTGGTGCGGTGTGTGTCTCTGAATTCCCTGAGGGACAGGAAAAGAACTTTCCGGACCAGACGTTCTTCACACCATGGCATCCCATCACTGATGTCCTGCAGAGTCAGACACAAACACCATCAGCTTTGTTCACACTGCCAGCTGTGGATTATTTCTGCTCAAATTATATAAATTTCATCAAACATGATCATACTACAGTAAAATGTACAAAATATCTTTTCATGCACAGTGCTTCGCCGTCAACTCTCTCTGTCTATGTCACTGTGCTGTGTGTATGCATGAGCTCAGCCCCTGGTCAGAGGCAAGCTTGGTTGCAGGCAATTTTTTTTCTTAATGGTAAAATGGTAAATGGTCCTGTGCTTGTATAGCGCGTCTTCCACCCAAAGCGCTTTTACACTACATGCCATATACACTCTTTCACACACACTGACTCAGCGATGGCAAACCCTATCGAACAGAAACACATTCATACACATTCACAGCAATTTGGGGTTCAGTATCTTGCTCAAGAATACTTCGACATGTGGCAGGACGAGCCGGGGATCGAACCAACAACCTTCCAATTAGTGGACAACCTGCTCTGCCTCTGAGCCACAGCCGCCCAGCAGAGCTATTCACCTGTATTATTAAGGAAAAGTATTGGATCGGGGATCGGGATCGGTATCCGCAGAAACTCAAGTATCCTTGAGCAAAAGACTGAACCCCAAATTGCTCACGATGCTGTGCATCGGTGTGTGAGTGGGAGAATGTGGCATGTAAGTGATAAAGCGCTTTGAGTGGTCGGAAGACTAGAAAGGCACTATAAATGGTAAATGGACCTGTACTTGCATGGCGCCTTTCTAGTCTTCCGACCACTCAAATCGCACACTACATGCCACATTCACCCTTTCACACACATTCATACAGTATGCCACATTCACCCTTTCACACACATTCATACAGTGATAGCAAAGTCCATCGAACAGAAACTAACGCATTCATACACCGATGGAGCAATTTAGGGTTCAGCTCAAGGATACTTCGACATGTGACAGGAAGAGCCAGGGATAATGTTTAAAATAAAAGTAGAAAGAAACTTCACTTACATATTTTTTCTTGATGATATTCCGTTTGGGTCTGTCTGTACTCATCTTGCCCAGTAGACACTAAGGGGCACATGAATTATGGAAGCCTCGTTCCTTTGAATTTGGCTGTTTTGCTTTCTTTTCTGAAAGAAAACATTAGCAGTGTTCAAAATAAGATCACAACACAAAATATCAATATTCTGTCCCATAGTGTTAGGTTTTTTTTAAAAGTGGTAATACTTCCTTCAAGTACCGCCTTACTGGCTCTGTACAATATATTTGAAATTTCAGATAGACATGGTGGAAAAAAGCATGATGTAAAAACAAAGCAGAAGTCCACACAAACTAAGTAGGAAGCCTCAAGAATTGAAAACAGTTTGATAAAAAACTCTTGCCTCCTTGTTCACTTACTAGCCAAGTAAGTATAATGACCATGGCCATTTCTATGACAACTGAACAAACTCCCTCCACTGGGAGTTTGTTCAGCTAGTAAGTGGACCTTAAGTTACACGAGGTTTTTTTGTTAAAATAAATACATCATCTAGCTATTACCTAGCTGTAGATAATGTAAACTAGCTGCCAGCGAGTTTTGGGATTTTTCTTCATCAGTACAGTCAGTATCATGATATCTAACCATAATCAAATCTAAATGTGATTTACAATAGGAAATATAACCTTATGTTAAAAAAAAAAATACTTTCCAAATGCAGAGTTCTGATTCATGTACTTTTCATTGAAATTCACATTAGAAATTGCCCTTTAACCAGCCTTGCTCAAGGGCACCAAGATGGAAGCTGGTGATGTGGGATATCAGCAGGATATTGATTGCATCTTAGTTTTCCCATGTCTATAATCATCTATGTTAACATATATATATATATATATATATATATATATATATATATATAAGAAAAAATCACTGATTCAATTCGGCTGCACATACTGACTAATAATGCAAGCTGCGGAAAAAGTGATTGTGTTAATAACCTTAAGGCCTACAGACCAAGTCATTCAATTACCAAATAACCCTCCAGATCAGGTGTTACATGTAGATTTAACAAAAATGCAGTTATAGCCTATACACTAGCACAACATTTGAATGGATTTACATAATGCCGCGTATTTATGCTCGAATTAGTCCTCATTTGTGCTTAATTAAGTATCAGGAAGAAGCTTCCTCATTAAATTGTATGCCGTTACTACAACCAACTAGCGACGAATTCGCCACCAGTTAAATTAATATAGTCAGATTTATCTGGAACAACGGCCTACAGCCAGCTCAGCCAGAGCCGCTCATCAACATTTGAACAGATATTAGTGAAGGGTGTACCGGTAAATGTGGATCGCAGTCTACAATTCTGACTACGCTGTAACGTTACATGAATACACATGTTGTACACAAACATTACAACGGACATCTCTATTATAGTCATATTAATCCTTGAACAAAGAAAATATGAAACAATAATCGATCACCCACCTCCAACAGGATTACCACCGGCCTACATCATGAGCACACCAACAACCTGAGGGAATGGCACACGGACTCACACATTTTACCAAACCCTGAAGCAATGAGTCACGTAAAATATCCAACCGGTACCGGAGTCACCTTACTGAGCCTTTAGACTCGGTGTGCCGCTTTAAGTCGGCACCTGCAGGGGTGTTCAGTGCAGGAAGGCAAGCACCACTGCGGTTCTGTGAGCCGCCGTTTAAGAACCAAGCCAGCCCAGGTTATATTTCAGTGCGCATGTATTGTTTTAACTACGGTTGGTTTAGGCAACGATTGATTTGCAGTTGGCTAATTATGCGTTTACCACGTGACAGGGAAATCACTCATGGTTCATCCTCGGGGTTGGCCTCGCTCAAATTCCATTTGTCCAATACATCGTTTGTCACCCCGTCGGGACACCGAAACAAGTATGCTCTGCTTTGCCGTAGTTACCAAGAACCGTCCCTGTAGCCGACGTTTAGATCCTAATGCGCTTCTATTCGTGCAATTAAGGTACAGGCGTTGCGCAGGGGCAGATCTAGAGGGGTGGCCTAAAAATGCCTGGCCACCCCATCTTCCATCCCAGTTTGTTGTCAAATACTGTCAAGTTTAACACAATAATTGGGGCCCGAGCACAAGCAATCCTGCAAAGGCCCTATTGTAATTGTAGGAATTGGCTATTATTTTATTGCCTCTTACCCGCCCCCCCCCCACAATCAGCCCCCAAGACACGAATGTCCGACATACACAAAAATTGGTATGCATGTGTAACATGCTCAGACAAGCAAAAAAGCCTCTTGGCGCTACACCCCAAACCCAACAGGAAGTCGGACATTTTGGATTTAGCTGTCATTTTGGGCGTTGTAGTTTTCGTGATCGGATTAACTTCAAATTTAATCAGCGCAATCAAAGACATTCATGATTAAAAGTTGCGCTATTTACAACATCTAGTCAAATGGCGTGCCCGTTGCGTCCAACTTCGACGATTTGCCATGAAAAAGGAAGTTGTCTTCACTTCAGTGTACCAATCCAATCCAATCTCAACGAAACTTCAAGTGTCTGATAAGAGTCCTGCCATGAACACATCTATGTGATAATATTCAGTAATAGTGGTAGCGCCACCTTGTGGCAAAAGGAAATGTAATGTTTATACTTTTATGTATTTCTCCAAGCAGATTGATCAGATCCAGCTGTCAGAAGTCTCTTAAGATGACGATGATGACATCTTGTGAATCTTAACAATTTTCACTGAACCATGTTTCTATAGCGATGCGGGGCTAAACATGCCCGAAAGCAAAAATTCAGTCATGGCGAAGGCTTATGTATTGCCTTGGTCCCGCAGATGGGCGTCGCAAAATGGCTTAGCCACACCCCCCAGAATCAGCCCCCAAGACACGTACGACCGACATGTATGAAAATTGGTACGCATGTGTATCATGATAAGACAAGCAAAAAAGCCTCTTGGACCCATAACCCAAACCCAACAAGAAGCCGGCCAATTTGAATTCCATGGCAGTTTTTCCTTGCCCCCTGCTCTATTTGAAAAGTGTCCTGAGATGGTGTGTTTGTGCCCAACGTTGCTGCTCAGTCTGTGTGAGCTTCAGCAGGCAGATACCCTAATGAGCCGCACAGGGGATTGTTAATTTAAAAATCAAGCACGACCCGAACCGAGCCTTTCGGCAATCGCCGAGCGGGCCAGTTGGCCCAATGGCCAGCCCGCCACTGATTCAATCAAGAAAAAATAATCAAAAAAATGAATGCAGTAATATCAGAGAAAGAACTAATTTACCCATCAGGTAAAGACTTTACCTTCTTTTCATCCCCACACAACATACACAAAAATGTATTATTTCTTGATAGTCAGAATGGATAGCAGGAGGGTGCAAAAACTGTCACATTGGAACAATGGATCTTTCCAATCACTGCCCATTGTATCCGTCTTTAGCAAGGCATATAGAAAGAAGCTATAATGCCCTCACAAGGAGTAGTCCTAATCCACTGCTAGACAGTTAACAGACCATTGTAGTCCTCCAATAAACACAAGGCGTAACTTTTCTTGTTGGTTTAATAAGGAGCCACAATTAATCATCTGTAAAACTGCAAAAACACAAAATACAAACATAAATCTATATTTTAGCAATTCTATTACACTATTATACTACACAGTGTACATAATATAACAAATGCTGCATCAGAGTGGGCTAACTATTACTACAGCTATGCCAGCAACCAATTAAGGAATCTCTTGATCTCTTTTTTAGAAATAAAATGTATACAGAGAAAATATATGATAGATATAACATTGAAAACTTAAAAATCCACAATACTCATGGACAAATAGTGTCCAAGGCAACAATGTGAAAGCTAACTGCAGCAGGAGAGGCAGGCCCAGGTGCTCTCTGTCTTGGCTAGTTACACAAAGAGAAATACCCTGCTCTGCAACTGTTGCTGCTAAATTAACCAAAAGGGAGCACTGCAGTGCATAAAATTATGTTAATACTCAAACAAAAGGCAGAATAGAAGCTTACACATTGGAGATTTAATTCTAGCATATTGAATAAACTAAGAATTGAACAGTTTGGTAAAGAAATATGCGAAAATAATGACAATGGAGAGGTGTCTCCACCTGTGATCTGGAATGCCTGTAAAGCAGTAATGAGAGGGAAGCGATAGCAATGACATCCTCCCTTGAGAAACAAAGAGCAGAAAAACACCCATTCATCTCAATAGATCTGTTAAGTTAGATGAAGGTGTGGACCCAAATGAAAGACAGATTCAGAGTTAAGTGTAGTTAAGTTGCTTTATTTCCAAAAAGTGTGATGGAGATGATAATGAGAGGGTTGAGGAGATGTCTTACTGAAGATAGCAGGCTTGCAGGCAGGTACAAAGGCAGGCACGAAGGCAGGTGAGGTGTAAGAATTGAAGACTGAACGATCTGGCAGAGAATAGATGGCATACTGGGGTAGATACATTCATCAAGAAGGCCCAGCAGAGGTTGTACTTCCTGCACCAGCTCAGGAAGGTCAACCTGCCTAATTTCTTTTCTTTTTAAAACATAAAACATAAATACTATTCTAATACGTCCCCCCCACGCCCAGATCTCTCCTTTTCCTCTGCTCTTCCTCTCCTTCCAATAACAATGTTTGTGTGCACGGTTTCTGTCATGTTCTGGAAATCTCTCATAAAGCTTTCTGTAAATTTCTGGAATTTAGTGCACTAGTTGACTTTTTCTCTACTTCAAAGGAGAACAGCAAGCATGGTAGGTAAAACAAGGCCTTTTTGAGCTGCTATACTATCCAGTCCCTATCGATTTTTTCCCTTCCATTGTGGGATGTGGAATATGTCAGATAGTTTGGGAATTCCCTGCCCTCTGCATCTGCTGGCAATTCCTTTGCCCTCTCTGTGAAAGGCGCCATCACGCGTACGAGGTTCACTCTATCAGAGTTGGTCATTCTAGTTGGCCATAATGCAGGATTGCTGAAATTAAGTGTGATCTCTGATCCATTCTGCTCAGACTCTCAGGCAGGGCAGCGGGCCCCTCCCGCTCCACTGTGACTCTCTCTCTCTCTCTCACCTGTAGCCTGACTGTCCCTCCGTTGCGGGGCAGTGGGCCCCTCCCGCGTTACTCTCTCTGTCACCTGCCTGCAGCTGGATCTCTCTCCTCTCTGTCTTATCCTCTCTGACGGAGCTACCAAACTAAACTGTTTCTGTCAAAGATAACGTGTTGTGTCAGGCTTTTATACAAGCTTATGGACGTTAACATTAGAGCTGGCCTGTTACGTTACAAGGCTGGTAAACGTTGGCTGCGCTGTTTCTTACCTTGCTCTACGTTAACTTTACCAGTTCCAGCTTCACCGTCACCACCTTTTTTTTTAAATATTTAAAATCTCCAAGGCCTCTTTATTTTTTTCTTTTCTTCTCTTTTCTTTCCTTTTCTGAGCACCGGACATGTGCTGGCCGGACTTTTTTAGCGTACTGAACTTCAAATCAACAACAACATCAAATTTGATCAGTGGCCAAACCATTTTTGTGTTGGGGGTGGGGGGGTTCTTGACCACTATTTCAAGGACAATTAGGAAGAACACAAATAGAAAGATGTTATGTAACTCAAACATTACACTTTTTTTCCCCACAAATAGGGCTATTTAAAAAAAATGTAAAAAATGATTCCATAATTTAATAAGGGCCCAGTTCTGGCCCCCCGCCCCTACCCTGGGCCCGGGACAACAGACCTGTTTGTCCCCCCCTATCGGCGGGCGTGCGTCTACCTATGCTGCGCATACTGTATGTACTACAGTAGTCATATCTACCTAGCCCATGTACATAAAGATACCTGCACGTAAAATATTTATTTCAGCATCCATTGCACTATTGTCTACTGTCTACAAATGTTTGTTTATATATATGTATAAACGTGCACTTAAGTCTATGTCTTTTTTGTTGAACTTGTTCTATTTATTGATGCTGTTAGTCTGTGTTTGTACATTGAGAGCAACGTAATTGGTAATGGTAAATGGACTTGTACTTGTATAGTGCCTTAATAGTCCGCTGACCACTCAAAGCGCTTTTACACTACGTGCCACATTCACTCTTTCACACACATTCACTCAGTGATGGCAAAGCCCATCAAACAGAAACTAACACATTCATACACATTCACACACTTATAACAAAAGAAGAAATGTACTCTGCTATATCCAGATTGAAAGCTAACAAGTCCCCAGGCACAAACAGATTCACTTTGGAATGTTATAAAAGTCTAAAGAGGCCCTGACACTTATTTTACTGAGAACATTCAACTGGGTTCTGACAAAAGGGGAAACTCTAGCATCATGGAAAGCCATTATTTCAATTATACCCAAGGGGGGAAAGATACATTGGAATGTGCAAACTACAGACCAATTAGTGTTCTAATATCTTGACTGCAAATTGTTTACATCAATCATTGCTAAAAGACTACCCAAAATAATTCATATGGACCAAACAGGTTTTGTTCTGTCACGTCACACTCATGATAACATAAGAAGATCCTTCCAAATCATAAGACAAAATCAAAACAAAATACAGACTATGCTGTTGACTCTGTTAGATGGACATTTCTGGGGTTATGGAGACATTTGGGTTTAATCAAGAAATTATTTAAAAACTAGAAGCCTCAAGCAGGCTCAATCAAATCAGCTCAATTAAAAATCAATGGAGAGCTTACTGGCTTTTCTGTTAGAGAGATCTACAAGACAGGGTTGCCCACGTAGTTTTGTTTTTTGATTTTCCTTGAACCAGTGGCACAATGGATTAGATAAAACAATACCATTAAAGGCATAAAATTGGCTGCAGGGGAACAAAAACTGGCCCTATTTGCGGATGATATTCTTGTGTACCTGTCGAGCCCAACAGATTCTCTATTTGAGCTGATGTCAGTGCTTGATGAATACGGGTCATACTCAGATACTTAATATCCACCATAATCCTCCTGAGTATCTTCGCTCTAGCTATCAGTTGGGCTGGGACAAGAAATTTGTAAAATGTATTTTTGCCTATTGACTTACCTAGATTAGAAGAAATTATTTAAATTTTTTTTGTGGAGTGGGATAAAGTTATCTCTAGATGTAACTGGACTGGAAAACAGAGTAAAATATAAGATTTTATATTATATATGGATTAGCCTTTCTATGTTTGAGGGTCTACTATCCCACATTAACTTGTTATCTTTCAGACCCCAACAACCCCTGGGTAACAGGCCCCCTAAAGATTTGGAAAAAAAAATATTATATAGTTTTATATATATACTTTATATAGATAGAAAGTTTCTGTGCTTTCTCGTCTTGCAGGTTCTCATGGATCCTGGTTGTGCCTACTGCTATGGTCCTGCTTGACTTCCAGTGCTAATATTATTATTATTATCTCCACCAGAGATGGGCCCAATGAGGGAGGTGTCATCTGCAAACTTCAGGAGCCTGATGGACTGGTGACTGGAGGTGCAGCTGTTGGTGTATAGGGAGAAGAGCAAAGGAGAAAGAACACAGCCTTGGGGAGATCTGGTGCTGATGGTTTGAGAGTCAGAGACATTTTTCCCCAGCTTCACGTGCTGTTTCCTGTCAAGCAAGAAGTCTGTGATCCAGCTGCAGGTGGAATCAGGGAGCTGGGAGAGCTTGTCCTGTAACAGGATCCTGGCATAGGTTCCTGGGGAGTCCAGATGCTGGATGGTGAAGTGCTGGGCCATGTTTACTGCATCGTTTAAAGACCAGCTGGCTCTGTAGGCGAACTGCAGGGGGTCCAGGAGTGGGTCTGTGATGGCTTTGAGGTGGGAAAGCACAAGGCATAGAAAGGTTTGCAGTTAATGAAGAAAGATTAAAGATTAGGAGAGCAGTGCTGTTGGATCACTGTCACATCATTACACCAGCTACTGTTGGTGTTAAAACAGATACATCCACCCTTTGTTTTGCTGGAGAGTTCTGTGTCACGATCCGGAGTTGGAAGCCTGCCAGCTGCAGCGCAGAGTCCGGTATCGATCCACACAGCCACGTCTCTGTGAAACATAAAACAGAAGATGAGGAAAAGTCTGTTTTTCCCTAGAAGTAGCTGAAGTTCGTTGGAGAGGAATATTCCAGGTAACGGTGTGCGATGTCTGTGTTGGCGGACACACCGGCATATTTTCCTCTCCTCCTGCTTTTCACTGCGCGAGCAAAGGTGAGCGCACCTTTGACCACTATTTCCAATAATTCCCTGGAAGAAAGAAGAAAAGTGGGAAAGAGATCAGCTGGAGTTATTCCCCTGATGTGCATGAGCTCCTCTCTTGTGAAAGTGCTCCGGGTATCACAGACGAAAACTGAATTAACAAACAAAACAAGAAAAAACAATGCACACCAAGACACCGAGACGACTGTCCGTGGCGCCATCTACAAAGTCTATAGGAATGCTCGGGTAGTAAAGGAGGTGGGGTTGCCATGTATGGTAAAACTAGGCTCATTAGCTCTGTAACTCTGTCAGTCACTAAAGCTAAACAATTTGAGGTCTTGGCCATCAAAGTAGATGTATCAAAGGATTCTTCCATCACTGTGGTTGGCTGCTATTGACCCCCATCTGCCACTAATGATGTTTTCAAATCTATTTCAGATATTTTACATGATTTTAATGGCTTTGAAATCATCCTTATGTTTGATCTAAATTGGAAGTGGCTTTCATGTAACTGTAAAGATTGTTTTAAAGAACTTATTGACTCCTTAAACCTTGTGCAGCTCATTAATACACCAACAAGGCCAAATCCTAAAGCACAAAAAAATCTATCTGGCTTGATTTAAATATAACAAATACACCTCACAAATACAACTCAACTGGCATATTTTGTAATGATGTCAGTGATCATTGTGCGATTGCTTGTGTCAGGAATGCCAAAATCCCTAAAAGCCCATCTCATTTTTAAAAGATATTTTAAAAGCTTTGAAGCGCAGGGCTTTTTTGTATGATTTGTACAACAGTGATCTTAGCAGAGTTACTCTGATTCCGGATGTTGAACTGGCATAGGATTATTTTCGTTAGATTGTCCTTTCTCTTTCTAATAAAATAATGAATTCCCATTAAGAAGTTTAGGATCAGTGGTAGGGACGATCCCTGATTCTCAGATGATCTTTCTGAGCTAATTCACTTAAGAAATAAGTGCTAGATATTCAAATTCTTCTGCTGATTGGACTACATTTAAAACCACGAGGAACAAGTGCAACTCAATGACCAGAAATTCCAAATCAGAGTTTTATCTAAAATCAGTTACAGAGAATAACCCATCAAAATTATGGAAATTAATTAAATCCTTGTCAAGTACACATGTTGCTTCAGACCTCCCTAATCACAGTCAGGTTGGCTCAGATGAAATATAGGACAAAGCTGCCATTGTAAATGGCAAATGGACCTGTACTTGTATAGTGCCTTTCTAGTCTTCTGACCACTCAAAGGTCAAACAGAAACTAACATTCATACACATTCACACACTGATGCATGGCATTGGGAGCAATTTGGGGTTCAGTATCTTGCTCAAGGATGCTTTGACGTGTGGCACCAGGAGCTGGGGATTAACCCACAACCTTCTGATTAAGGAACGACCCACTCTGCCTCTGAGCCACAGCTGCCCTTGTGGCAGTCAGTTTAACAAACACTTTATTCATGCTGAGTCTATATTTGACAACTCTAAATTAAATACATCAGTCCCATGTTCCACCACTACTGCAACTGATGGAAATCTGGATTTGTTTGATTTTAAATGCTATGCAAGTACAGGTCCATTTACCATATATTCATTTTGGCTGAATGTTAAATATATCCTGACAGACCTAATGTTAAATGCACCCCGATTGGCTGAATGTTAAATAGGGTAAGATAAGATAAGATGTTCTTTATTGATCCCCCATAAAAGAAATTCAAATCAGACACAGTAGCTCAGTTGGTAGAGCTGGCGTCCCATGTAACAAGGCTGAGCTGCCCATGGTTCAAATCCAACCTGTACCCTTTGCTGCGTGTCATCCCCTCTCTCTGCTCCCTGTCTGTCTTCAGCTGTCACTACCTTAAGACAATAAAAGCCCCAACAAATACTTTTTAAAAAGTACATAAGTTGTGTGGTGGTCACGGTGTCCACATCCCTGCACATTGTTTATAGATAAAAGCTAAACTAAGGCAAAAGAATAAAAAACTAAAACTACCAACACTGTCAGTCCTATTTAAAACAACAATATACAGTGCTAGTTAGAAGGGATGAAAAGAAAGTAAAGCTTAAAAGAAGGCCTAAAATGTTAAATGCTTTCTGATTGACTTCTTGTTAAATGCATCCTGATTGTCTCAATCAGGAATAAATAATAATTGATTGGCTTGTAAAATGGAAAAAGATTGACATGTTGAAATATCAATACATATCAATAAGTGTAATATTATGTGCCTGAGTAGTGGGAAGAATTTGCAACCCACCTGCCAATTTTGGTGTTTATAGATCCAACAGTTTTTGCTGCACAAATACCTTTAGCTGAGAACAGAAGAAGAAGAAGAAATACAAGAGGGCTCCAGCAGGACCACTAAATATTCTAACCCGGCTGTTCCACTTCAATCAGCAGGGTAGCAGGTGTGATAATGAAGGTGAGACGTAATATCAAACAAGAGCAGGCTCTCCACTGTTCCTCCAGCACTCGCCCTGTTGCTCCTGTTTTCACATCATGCCAGTGTTCCCGTGGCTTCTTTTGACATTTTTCCGTGGTACACTGGCAGGTCCGGTTCAGCGCGCGGCATGGTCTGAATGGGGAAATCCGGTAAAGACAAAACAGGATGGAGTCCCGCGCCCTCCATTCTACCATCTGCCCGTGTTCTTACAGGCACCAGGGCCACTTGTGGCACGAGACCTGTTTCGACCGGGACTTCATAAAAGACCGCTTCCCGCCGGATTGACTTCGCTGCTGTTACCACCAACACAACAACACCAGAGCGTCCGAGGGACAGGTGCTCGTGCTGTGGAAGTCTGGTGTGGTATTGATAAAATCTCTGTGCGCATGGACCGCCTTCAGCTGCGTGCTTGGACCGTGCCATCCCTGTTCCGACTGGGCTCATGCGAAGCCAGCAGAATCAGCCCCCGCTTCCTGTATTTTCACTACAAACTGACAGATTGTGATGGAGAATCTAAGGTCGGGATTCCACTAAACGTCAAATATCTCTTCACTTACTTTGCACACTACTTCTGTGGTTTCTAACCATTCTGATAGAGCTATAAGTAATTTGAGTACAATGTTATCAAAATATTTGCTGAAACTTTTATGTCCTGGCCATAGGGTTATGGTAAGAGTTATGCAATCTGGCATTGCAAGAATCCACTGAGCCTGAATGAAAACCAGAGCCAAGAAAGGTTCAAAGACACTTTGAGTTGATGGCTTGACCATAGTTGATTGTTGAGTCTCATTCCCAGCGTCAGTATTTAACATAAATAACCTGGGAATGTCACTCAACAATGAATATTTGTGAAGTTTTGTTTGTCTTCTACCATTTAATACAGATTTTACATCTAAAACAAGAGACTCTACTTTTTTTCACTAGCTAGAATTGTGTTCTCCCAAAATATCTACTATTTTTACCATTGATCAACATAAAAAAATATGACTAAATGAGGTATTTTCACTAAAACCCTATGAACATTTTCATCTTAAAACTTTAATTTTAATGTACTACACCATCCCTAACTTCAGTTTTGGCTCCTTATAGACTGGCAAGGTACGACCACTCTTCAGCACTGCCTCCAAAACCACTTAATCTAACTAATACAGGTGCATCTCCAATAAATTAGAATATCATGACAAAGTTCATTTATTTCAGTAATTCAATTAAAAAAGTGAAACTCATATTATATAGATTCATTACACACAGAGTGAAATATTTCAAGCCTTTATTTCTTTTAATTTTGATGATTATGGCTTACAGCTAATGAAAACCCCAAATTCAGTATCTCAGAAAATTAGAATATTTCATAAGACCAATACATTTTAATACAGAAATGTCAGCTTACTCAAAAGTACACTACTCACAAAAAATTAGGGATATTTGGCTTTCGGATGAAATTTCAGAATGTAAATAAAATGCACTATAACCTTTCCAGGTGATCTTAATTTGACCTTCTACTTAAATGCCCTACTTTCATGATATAATATCACTGTAGCATCAACTTTTTCCATTTTCCATAAATTTCACCTGAAAGTGGAATATCCCTAACTTTTTGTGAGTAGTGTATGTGCATATATATGCACTCAATACTTGGTCGGGGCTCCTTTTCCATGAATTACTGCATCAATGCAGTGTGGCATGGAGGCGATCAGCCCGTGGCACTGCCGAGGTGTCCTGCTGGAAAATGAAATCCGCATCTCCATGAAGCTTATTAGCAAAAGGAAGCATGCTCTAAAATGTCCTGGTAGATGGCTGCGTTGACTTTGGACTTGATAAAACACAGTGGACCAACACCAGCAGATGATATCTGACTGTGGAAACTTCACACTGGACTAAAAGCAACTTGGGTTCTGTGCCTTTCCACTCCTTCTCCAGACTTTGGAGGAAGATCTTGATTCCCAAATGAAATGCAAACTTCACTTTCATCTGAAAAGGGGACTTTGGACCACTGAGCAACAGTCCAGTCCTTTTACTCCTTAGCCCAGGTAAGACGCTTCTGACAGTTGTAGCCCATGTCCTGGATACATCTATCATACATGGATCATATGTGTGTGTGTGTGGTGGCTCTTGATGCACTGACTCTAGCCTCAGTCCACTCCTTGTGAAGCTCCCTCAAATTCTTGAATGGATTTTGCTTGACAATCTTCTCAAGGCTGCGGTTATCCCTGCTGCTACCACACCTTTTCCTGCCACTCAACTTTCTATGAATATGCTTGGATACAGCACTCTGAACAGCAAGCTTCTTTAGCAATGACCTTTTGTGGCTTATCCTCCCATAAGGAGGATGTCAATGACGGTCTTCTGGACAACTGTGAAGCCAGCAGTCTTCCCCATGGTTGTGTATCCTACTAAACCAGACTTAGAGACCGTTAAAGGCTCAGGAAACCTTTGCAGGTGTTTTGAGTTAATAAACTGATTTAGAGTGGGAAATTGTGAGTCTACAATATTGAACTATTACGAATATTCTGAGATACTGAATTTGGGGTTTTCATTAGCTGTAAGCCATAATCATCAAAATTAAAAGAAATAAAGGCTTGAAATATTTCACTCTGTGTGTAATGAATCTATATAATATAGGTTTCACTTTTTGAATTGAATTATTGAAATAAATGAACTTTGTCATGATATTCTAATTTATTGAGATGCACCTGTATGTGCATTACCCTTACTATCTGCCATTTTAATTTGAGGGTATGAAGTTTGTACGGAGCCCCTAAAGGGACATGGGGGGGGGAAATGAAACGTTTCTAGTGCGCACTAGATCCTATCCATATTGTGGTGAATCAACACATGGCTAATTTTAATATTCAAATGAGTATTAAACTAATTTGTCTGTAAGTAAAAAATGTAAATTAATCTGTAACCTTTTTTGTTACAGTCCGCATTTAAATGCCTGTCCTCTTTTTGAGAAAATAACAAACAGTCCACCTTTTGACACATTACCTTGTTAGTTTAATAGGTATTGGCTTAAAATGTGTGTCAAAATAAGTAATTTCATTGGTTACATTTTCGTGTTGTGACCTATTAACACATGGCTAATTTTAATATTTAAATGAGCCATGTGCTGATTTGCCACAACACTTGATCCATATATAGTGCTCACTAGATACAGATCTAGTGCTCACTAGAAACGTTTCATATATATATATATGCTATCTATATATATATTTATATATATATATATATATATATATATATATATATATATATATATATATATTTTTTTTTTTTTTTTTTTTTTTTTTTTTTTTCATGTCCCTTTAGGGGCTCCATAAAGTTTGGGTATTTAAAAAATAAATTCATAAAATAAAAATCCATTAAATAGTGGCCTAAAAAAATCCCACAATAAAACAACTAAAGTTATTGTTGTGCTACTCTACAGCTGTTAATATTGATGAAAAAATTATGATTAGTAGGTGACCAAAATATAAATGTTCTGCTCACTATTGATTTAACTATGGAGTGTATACAGTTAGTAGAAGTAAATTAGTGAACAAAGGGGTTGACTTTGGACATAGCCCAGGGCTGTGAGGGAATTTTGTACCAAAAAAGGAAAATATTCACTTTATTTTACTAACATGGACTGCTGAAATTCTCATTAGTTTCAGATGAACTTTGTAACTTAGTGGCTGCTGTGCTTGAGTGAATGAATGGGAGTAATGCCCCAATGGGTTAATACAATTCCTCCATCCTTGTCTCTTTCCCACATCTCTCTTCTGGAGAGAGAGAGAGAGAGAGAGAGACTGACTTCGCGTTGTCGGCAGGATTCAAACCTGGGCGGGGAGACCCCAATTGATTTCTAATCCATCGCCTTAACCACTCGGCCACAACTACTTCTACTACTATCTAGATGAATTTCAACTGCTTTAAATGTATATGGAATAAAAAAAATTACTTCATATTTAATCTCTCAAATTTCTCAGGTTGTTGGTGGTCAGCTGATGTATACCTTTTCACTGTACTATACTCCACCTCCACAAGGCTACGTCATCAGAGTTCTACCACTTAACCTCCCCGTCCACTGCCATTACAACAGGTAATGAACACCTCCCAAACACTGTCATTTAAAAGGCTGTCTGTGACTACCTGTCTACTCTGTTTCAGGGTTTTAAGTAGCACTTGGCTAAGAATGCTCTCTCTTGTCCCCGCTCCATTCTGTGACCAAAGTCCACTCGCTTTGTTAGGTTTCATGATCCATTTAAAAAAAATAATAACACCACTCTTTGACTCAAAAACTCTGAAAATTGAGTATGTAATACCTGTAATGTAATATTTGACTAAATGTGACAAAGTAAGTTTTCATGAAAAACAAATTCTGCTCTTTTTAACTGAATTAGAGATACACCACCGTTCAAAAGTTTGGGGTCACCCAGACAATTTCATGTTTTCCATGAAAACTCACACTTTTAGTCATCAAATGAGTTGCAAAATGAATAGAAAATATAGTCAAGACATTGACGAGGTTAGAAATAATGATTTTTATTTGAAATAATAATTTTGTCCTTCAAACTTTGCTTTCGTCAAAGAATCCTCCATTTGCAGCAATTGCAGCCTTGCAGACCTTTGGCATTCTAGCTGTCAATTTGTTGAGGTAATCTGAAGAAATTTCGCCCCACGCTTCCTGAAGCACCTCCCACAAGTTGGATTGGCTTGATGGGCACTTCTTACGTACCATACGGTCAAGCTGCTCCCACAACAGCTCAATAGGGTTGAGATCTGGTGACTGCGCTGGCCACTCCATTACAGACAGAATACCAGCTGACTGCTTCTTCCCTAAATAGCTCTTGCATAGTTTGGAGGTGTGCTTTGGGTCATTGTCCTGTTGTAGGAGGAAATTGGCTCCAATCAAGCGCTGTCCACAGGGTAAGGCATGGTGTTGCAAAATGGAGTGATAGCCTTCCTTATTCAAAATCCCTTTTACCTTGTACAAATCTCCCACTGTACCAGCACCAAAGCAGCCCCAGACCATCACATTACCTCCACCATGCTTGACAGATGGCGTCAGGCACTCCTCCAGCATCTGTTCACTTGTTCTGCGTCTCACAAATGTTCTTCTGTGTGATCCAAACACCTCAAACTTAGATTTGTCTGTCCATAACACTTTTTTCCAATCTTCCTCTGTCCAATGTCTGTGTTCTTTTGCCCATCTTAATCTTTTCCTTTTATTGGCCAGTCTCAGATATGGCTTTTTCTTTGCCACTCTGCCTAGAAGGCCAGCATCCTGGAGTCGCCTCTTCACTGTGGACGTTGAGACTGGCGTTTTGCGGGTTACATTTAATGAAGCTGCCAGTTGAGGACATGTGAGGCGTCTATTTCTCAAACTAGAGACTCTAATGTACTTGTCCTCTTGCTTAGTTGTGCACCGGGGCCTCCCACTTCTCTTTCTATTCTGGTTAGAGCCCGTTTGTGCTGTTCTCTGAAGGGAGTAGTACACACCATTGTAGGAAATCTTCAGTGTCTTGGCAATTTCTCGCATGGAATAGCCTTCATTTCTCAGAACAAGAATAGACTGTCGAGTTTCAGAAGAAAGTTCTCTTTTTCGGGCCATTTTGAGAGTATAATCTAACCCACAAATGCTGATGCTCCAGATACTCAACAAGCTCAAAGGAAGGCCAGTTTTATAACTTCTCTAATCAGCACAACAGTTTTCAGCTGTGCTAACATAATTGCAGAAGGGTTTTGTAATCATCAATTAGCCTTTTAACACGATTAGCTAACACAATGTACCATTAGAACACAGGAGTGATGGTTGCTGGAAATGGGCCTCTGTACACCTATGTAGATATTCCATTAAAAATCAGCCGTTTCCAGCTAGAATAGTCATTTACCACATTAACAATGTCTAGACTGTGTTTCTGATTAATTTAATGTTATCTTCATTGAAAAAACAATGCTTTTCTTTCAAAAATAAGGACATTTCTAAGTGACCCCAAACTTTTGAACGGTAGTGTACCTCCAGCAGGCTCTCCATGCCCAGGGCTGACTTCCTTAACACTGGGTCTCCAGCAAGCTCCAGCGTGCATGCAGGAAGGGTGGTTGGTGTGGCACAATGCCACACACGGGAGGACAGCAGAGAGCAGGCACTCATGAAGCCTAATACAACTCTGTGGTTTATAAGTGAACTGTGGCTTATGAATTACTTGGCTTATTAAATTATTTCTCAAGTAAATGCAATATGCTTCTGTAATATCTGTTCTCAATGTGAGAATAGATATTTACCGCTCAATGTCAGTTGCTACAGATGTAAAACACACTAACATTAGCATTTTATTAAGTGACATCATTTGTATGTTGGGTTCAGGCTTTATGAAGTGCCTCAGTGTTGTTCTTTCTGATAGAACCTGTTTCTATTTAAGTGTCTGAACCACAAAATGTCCTCTGACATAAGGGCTTTTATCAGCCTCTGGAGTGATGAGTGATATGAGAGATCTCAAGTTTCCTTTTTGTCATGAGAAAATCCTTTCTTCTGTCTCAGGTTTCATTACTCTTACCAAGTTGGCTTCAGACCTCACGTTCTGCACTCGACCTTTATGAAGAACATCAGGAGTAAACTCAGCTTCAGCCTCTCTGTTTGCAATGGTAACCTATGCCTACAGTATCTAAAGGATTCAGTGTTTTTGCACAAGATGACATGTTAACTGTAAATATCTGAAATGATCTGCTCAAATTTGCCATCACGTCTTGTTTCAACAAGAAATAACTTCTTACTCATTTAACAATGACTTGATGTGAACTGTTCACATTAGAGCTGCAAGTGTTGAAAGTTCTACGGTGATTCTACAGTTACGTTATTTAGCCATTCTGAAACTAATTCAACTCAACACTGTTAGTGTAATTCTACAGCTTCCAGTTTTCAGACCAAATAATTTTCCTGTAACTTCGGCTTTAATATATTTCGAAGCAATCCCGAAGTCATTTGTAATTTATCATTTTGAATTTATTTTTAAAAAGGTGTAGCCTGGAAAATGTGTGTATTCTATGTGGGTACAAGTTGAACTGTATAAATATGAAAGCATAAATCCAAGCTAATACAGTGAAATCCTATAGTATAGTTTGATCATGACAATAAAGACAAAATACAAAAGGAAACACAATTTCAGTCAATGTGTTTTGTTTGCCTTGAATATGAACGTGTATGTTTGTGTTTTAACAGCCAAGTGGGAGCCCCTTCCTTCAGGCCACTGGTTCTTTTTGGGGGATCCGGTGTATTTTGTGGCCCAGACAGGAGCTTTATTGGCTGGGGAGAGGCTTTACGTTGACTCATGCTATGCCACAAGCTCCACAGACCCAAACTCTGTGCCCAAAGTGGATATTATTTCTAACTATGGGTGTGTCTCTAGTAAGAAGTCACACATTTGTATTCACAGTACTTAGTTTGTCACCTTATACATCTTGATTGATGTGTTTGTGCTCTGATTTTTGATTACAGCTGCATGACAGACAGCAGGAGGGAAGGCAGCAGCTCCAGGTTCCTGATGGGAGAACGCAGAGTGTTAAAGTTCTATGTGGATGCATTTTTCATCGGAGCAGTCTCTCAAGTAAGCTCAAAACCAGGCCTCTGCTCCGGTTGATGTTCGTCATTAATAATTACCTGAAGTCACCAACATCATGCAACAACAGAAAGTTTATGCTATGAGACACAAGGAAATTTCCAAATCCAGTGTTGGGCAGTAAGACATGCACTAGCAATAATATTACTTTCCTCAGTAACTAGCGATGTAACTAATAATACATTTCAGTAATATTAGTTTACAACCTGATTGTTAACTTACTTTGTTGTCACCCCCCTACTGATTTGAAATCCAATCACATCAAAACGCTTACATTCAGCGGTTGTAAATATTTCCAATACTTTGAATTTAACAAACAAAACTGGATTTTAATCATTGAATTTGGGAGAGAAGGGATGCAGTTACCAATTTTATGGGGAGTATCAGAAAAGTAATAAAACTTGTAGGGTAACTAATTACTGATAGGAGATATAAGTAAAGTAATATTACTGAAAAGAGTAACGAATGAGTAAAACTTTCCTGATTTTGTTTTTATCCTTGTGCTAGTGCTTATTTTTGTTGTTTTTATCATAGCCTGTGTGCCACGGTTTGTATAAGCATTTTAAAGAAATGTTTACATGTTGTTCCTGATTATATAACCATTACCTATTAGGTAACACCAATGATTATTCCTAACCTGATTTATTTAAATAATGAAGAAAAGCTTAACTTAAACATTCATAAATTCATCTTAAGGAAACATTTCTTATTTAAATTATACAAAAACTGTTTGCAAAATGTCTCTACCAGAAATAAAAATGTAACTACACACAGTGAAAGTCATAATGACGAGTCAAGCACTATACAGTGTCCATTTTTATTTTCGTCACATTTAGTGTTTGGGGCAGCTGTGGAGGTAGACTGGGCCACAAATGAAAAGGTTGTTGGTTCGATCGCCGGCTCCTCCTGCTACATGTTGAAGTGTCCTTGAGCAAGATACTGAACCCCAAATCACTCCTGATGCTCCACCATCAAACTAGAAAGGCGCTATATAATTACAGTCCATTTACAAGTAGAGACAGCAGTGTATTATGTTTTTTTTTACCTGCTGTTTGTGCATAGGTGCTGTACCTCCACTGTTCAATGTCAGTCGGTCTCACCACTACCCACAACTCAAAGTCGTGCAACTTCAACAAGGCTGCTGGAAGGTAAACAACCAATGCTATTAAAATATCCTTTACAAGTGTAACACAGTTGGTACTTTAATGTAAAATGACAATGTAGAATGATAATGATATTCAGATGAAAGGAATATGAATCAATATGAAAACAAATAATTTCAACACTTTATATGACTGCTTTTTATAATGTGTTTAGGTGGGAGGAGCTGGAAGCCCCACCCCCAGTATGCTCCTGCTGCGATTCCACGTGTACTAACATACAGGATAGTAAGTTCTGAGAATGTAGTCATATGGAACAAACAAAGGGCTGTCTACACCAAGAACTATAACTATATTTTGGTAAAATAAAAAAATTAAAAAAGGGTATCTGTATGGCTCCACTTTTATTTGCATAGTGCCAAAGTATAACAAAAGTCATCTCAGGACACTTTTGTTCAAATGGAGCAGAGACCCTATAGACACTGAATACCATTGGCAGTATGTCTCAGGTAAAATTATGTTGTGTTTTTTACTTGTTTCAACTTGTTTACTTTTTTTTTTTTTTCCCCCTCAGCTATGAAGAACACAGTCAGTAGTCCAGGCTGGTTCATTGGACAAAAGGACGAAGAGAAATCAAGGATGAGGGCGGTGTCTTTCCAAGCAGAGGAGGGAAGAGAATTGTTTGATCAAGAAGAGAGAAGGGAAAATAGTATAGATGAGCACCTTAAAAATGTCCAGACCTTTCCACAGGAGTCAGAGATTGGACATGAGGAGGAAAAAGTAGAAGCCATTCCTGAGAAGCCTTCCGTGCTCCTTGTTGCCAGAAAAAAATGGAGGCACGGTGTTGCTGTCAGCCAGCAAGGAAAGAAAGAAAAGGAGGAAGGTGAGACAGAAGAGGTAGTGAAGGAAAAGGTAGACAGCCAGCAGAAAGAAATAAAAATGGATGACATCAGTATTTCTGACCAGACAAAACAAGAGGGAAATGAGACGTTTCAGGCCAGGGAGGAGGTCTCTAGCACCAAAAATGGCTCAGAGAATGGTTTATCCAGTGAGAACAGAAGCACTAATGCTTTAAGACATGATTTTGGTACCACCACTATTACAAGAAATTCCAGTTTTGGTATTTATTCTGATAATGGAAGTAATCATGGTTTTGCTGAAAATATTTCTACCACTGTAATTCCTATGATTAAACCTTGTACTGATGGTGATAAAATGAGTTGTAGTGCCACCAACAGTACAATCAGTGTTTGGGATTCAAGAGTTCATGAGAGTCTGCATGGCAATAGACTTGAGCCATTATCTGCCAGCAGTAACATTGAAATTGACTATGCTGGTTTTCCTGATATCAGAAAGTCAAGAAAGAGCAGACTGGAGTCAGATACGTCTGACACACTCCCGTGGTCAAAACAGGTCAAGTCTGCTAATAACTCAGTGGACACCAAGTCCAACAGGATACCAGGACAATCAGGCATTAGCAGTAAAGGACCACATGGAGGAGGAGATGATGATGATGATGATGATGATGATGATGATGATATGCTTCACAGTCTACAGATCAGAGGGTTGGAATCAGGCTGGTCTGCTCACCCAGCTGCATCCAGGGATCCAATCTGTATAGATAAGTTAATTTGTGAGTCTGATTTTGATTCTGGAAATGAAGGTGAAGCTCTTCATCGGAGTCAGTTAACTGGAGCAGCAAAGACAAATAAGGAAGTACAAGAAGTTCCTGGTAACATTACAAGACTACACAGTTCTGATTCTGTTAGTTCAGAGCAAATGCATCAAGACAGCCCCAGTCATTCTGCTGTGGTGGCAGTTACTACAACTCTGCATGGCTCTGACAGCAGTCAGATGTCTGTCAGGGATTCAGCTGAGTCAGGATGGGGCCTGCAGATTTTGGGGTTTGTGGCGGAGCAGCCAAATGAGTTGAAACAGGAGGCAATGGATACTTCTAACAAGAGATAAGATTACTAGACTTATACTTAGAAATTTTTTGTTTTGTGTTTGAGAAATAGATTGAAATACTTGTACTGCGATCCAATTCAATGGCCTGTCAAAACATTAAGCTTATCAAATACATTTTTTGACTTCATATGCTGCGCTGTTGTATTGGAATGTGTTGTACAGGTGTTTTTATTGAGGTATGTCAATGTAGCTAAGGGAAAGGGAGCCAGATGAGATGAGATGAGGTTAAGGCGTAGTGGGGTCATGAGTTGAATTTGTACAAAATCTGGACCTAGGGCAGATATTCAGGCAAACCTTATCAGGACTAGAGCCGACTAAATAGTTTCATAACCTGGTGTTCACCTGGCTGTATCCATGTTGACAAATAAACTCCTCTGACCAAGCCTTTACCTATTTTTGCCTTTTTTCATTAGTGTAGTCCAGTATGAAATGATTTACATATACTGTATTGGGAAAGTTTTTTGTTTTTTTGTCTGAAATGACTATATTCTCATAGCAGTCTGAATGTATGTTTGCTATTTAAATGCTGTGTTTTGGAAAGAGTTAATCTGCCTAACTGGGTGGTCCACAGTTAACTATAGCCATAAGAGCACTCATTCAATCTGTTCTTAGTCAATACTGAATCACAATTGTTGTAAATACCTTTTTTAATGTAAAGATAAAAATGTTTGAACATAGTTAGCTCAGAATGTTTGAAAATCCTGAAACCACACCCATGTATGCATACTTAATGCACATCAATAGACTGACTAGCTATGGTGGCAGGTGTGGTTAATAATCACAATCAGGGTGATAATCATCCAAAAACAATCCAAATTGCTGTAGGTAATTTTTATAAAGATTTTTTCAAATATTTGCTGAAATGTTAACTATATCCTGACAGTAGTACATAAACCAGATAATCCATGAAAAAATCTGGTTCCTCTGGCTGATTCTGATTCTGATCCTAATGGCATATGCAAGAATCCATAAGCCTTAATGAAAACAACCAATCAAAGTTAAGAAGGATAGACACTGGGTTGGAGGCTTGAAGAGAGTTGATAGTTGAGTCTCATTCCCAGAGTCCTAAAGCATCTGTATTTGATGCCCTAGGACTGAGACCCAACAATCAACTATCTTCCTTGGCCACTGCCATCAGTGTATGCATGTATGCGAATGGGTACGGCCATGTAGTATACAGCGCATTGAGTGGTTGAAAATACTAGAATAAGTACAGTTTACCATTTACACCAGCAGTAGGTACACTGAAACCTTATCTGCAGGCTCACACAAGAACGACAGCTGCATGGAGTTTTGTCATTTTCAAGTTCTTCATGTCAACACATCTTGGGTTGAGCTGGGATGGGATGACGGAACGGGTGTTCTTATTTTCCTCCCCATCGGAAGCTGTGGGACTTTATCTATTAGCCAGCAGAGCAGCGTGGTAGCCTCCCCGTTGCTCTGTGGGAAATGGGGAGTGGATGTCACATGGCTGAATTCCCAATCCTGCGAACTGTCTAAAGGGCTCAGATGTAAAGTGTAGTCCGTAGTCTGAGCACACAACTTCAGGTATTTTATGACACGCAAAGATGGACTTGAAGTACTAAATCACAGCTTCAGATGTTGTGGATGATAGTTTGGCCACTTCAAAGTATCTTATAAAGTAGTCCATAATGATCAGGTAATATTTGTTTTCAATCTGAAACAGATCTGCTCCTACAGTGGACCATGGCCTTGGTCGGAACTCAGTAGGCATCATTGCTTCTCTGTGGTTTGTTTTCTTATGGCTAAAAGTGTCACAGTTCATTTTTGTCAGCTCTCTTAGGCCTGGCCATTACACGGATTACTTAGCTCTCTCTCTGCATTTTGTTATTCCCAATAATGGCCCTCATGCAGCTTGGACAACACGTCTGCACTGAGTGCTGCTGGGATGACTATCCTGCTGCCATATAATAGCAGACTATTTTAGACTGTGAGCTCACCTGAGAATGGTAGATAGGGCTGGAACAGTCTTTTAATCAAGAACTTGTTTGGCCATCCTTCAACACAGTACTTCTTTAACTGCTGTAGTATGGCGTCATCTTGATGTCTCTGGATTTCAAAGGCTCGCTATGACAGAGTCAACATACAGGTTGATTTCCTCCTCCTTCTCAATCTGGGAATATTGCTGTTCAGTGCTGGTGTGGTCTCTCGAAGCATATGACATAGGTTTTCACTTGGTGTCTGCTTGCTGCTGGAGAAGCACTGCGCCCATCCTGTAGGACGAGTCAGCAGAGACAAGCGTTTCAGCATTTGTGTCATACAATTTCAAGCCCTGGGGGTGTTGTCACTTCTGTGATGCTGTCAAAGGCCCGCCGCTGTTGTGATCCCCAGGCCCACATGTTCGACTTTCTCGACAGGTCTCGTGAGCGGATGCGTTTTCTTTACGTTTGTCACATTTAAATAAAAGTAAAAGAACAAGAAGCCGTGATGAAAATTTTCACTGAAACATAAGTTAGTTCCAGCTTTAATAATACACAAAGATAACAGAGCAAGGCGAGTTCCTCAAATGCATTTATTGTGAAAATTTTGAGATCTTAAAGCCCATGTATTACAAACAGAGACTGTGACTATATAGTTTTTAAGATTACCTCAAATCAGGTGGAAAATGTAAATTTTCTATATTCTGGTATGGGTATTTGAGAGATCATTGGTAAGTAATGTATTCAAAGGTTGGACAATTCTATCCACTATTTTATTTAAAGATGTACATTTTTAGCCGGTCCAAAAAATAATCTATAGTGCTGAAATGAATGGGACTGATTCAACAGGTATGCATTATGGATATGTGACAGAAAGCAGTAGGAAAACTGCACAGATCACAGGAAAAGCACAGTAACTCAGTTGATTCTTGGTTGACAGCAATCAGTTGTTGATTGGGCTCAATGCACATCTAAGAATTCTTCTGTGGCACCTTGATGGTCACCTGGCAACAGAGACAAAAAGGATTTCAGGATTTTAAGATGTAAAGAATATTTATTTATTTTTAAGTATTTTATGCAGCTTTTATTGCCTTTATAATAGTGACAGCTGAAGACAGACAGGAAAGGGGGGCAGAGAGAGAGGGGAAGGAAGCATTTAACATTTTAAGCCTTCTTTTAATCTTTACTTTCTTTTCTTCCCTTCTAACTAGCACTGTATATTATTGTTGTAAGTAAGACCAACAGTGTTGGTAGTTTTAGTTTTTTATTCTTTTGCCTCAGTTTAGCTTAGTTTTTTATCTATAAACAATGTGCAGGAATGTGGACACCGTGACCACCACACAACTTCTGTACTTTTTTTTTTTTTTCACTTTCTTTTTAAAAGTATTTTTTAGGGCTTTTATTGCCTTTATGATAGTGACAGCTGAAGACACAGAGAGAGGGGATGACACGCAGCAATGGGCCGCAGGTCGGATTCGAACCCTGAGCCGCTGCAGCAAGGACTTGGCCTACATAGGACACCAGCTCTAACGACTGAGCTGACCGGGCACCCATGTAAAGAATATTAATTTAGTAGTTATCAGTGTATAATAATTTATTGAAATAAACACAGTACTAATAGTAATACAGAATTTTAACTTTCAATTTCAGGCTTATATTGTAGTGATAAGTGTAATGTTAAACAATCAGATAAGCTAGACTTATAAAACACAAATCCTTTCAAATACATTAGTGTTCAATCTAGTTGAGGTTCAATTGGATTTTTTTCTTTTTTTTGGACAAGGTATAGTTAGGTTAGGTTAAATTTAGCATGTTTTAAAATAAGTAGTTATACATGAATTAATATTAAATAAGTATACCATTAAAGATTCATATCAGATTTGGAAAAAGCTTTTGTTGGCAGATTAATCTTCACAACCTTGTGAAACCGGAAAAAGAGATCTTACCAGAGTAAAATATGAAAAGTTGAATAATGCATACAGTACTTGACACACTAAGGCAACATATCATTGCACATCCTATTTTGATTTGTATTTATTTTTTGGTAAAAGAAATGTAATATAGATCATTTCATATTAATTGGGCTTAACACACTTCATTTTAAACTAATCTTGCTGCACAGTTATTTATTTAAGTTATTGTATAAAAACAGAAAAGATAATCAAACTTCCACAGCAATACTGACTCTGGAGGTCTTGATTCAGAGAAATTCATCTAAGCTTAAAACATCTATATAAATGGTTTATTTCTAGTAATTACCGTTTTTATTTCTGTGTAGTTGTCAAGACCGTATTCTCCTAGCTCTCTGCCATTGCCTGAAGCTTTGTAACCTCCAAATGGAGCCTGAGCCCCAAACACGTCATAACAGTTAATCCTGCAGAGGAAAACACACAGATGACATTAATAATAAATAAACATAAATGTGGTAAATATGTACTGGGAACGTAAAAATGTATGGGAACCTCAACACTAGGTTACAACTCAAACAACATCTGAACATGGAACAATGAGTACCAATTTAAACATACAGGCCTTTATCATTAGGGAGAAAATACTTTTTTTAACAAGAATCAAAAGTGCTTTAAAATTGATTTTTTTCTAAAATGCTGCCTTGAAACGTGCAGCAACAAGGTATGCATATAAATATACACTGATCAGCCATAATCCTGATTGGGTAGGATATATTAAACCTCAAAGTTGATGTGTTAGAAGCAGGAAAAATGGACAAGCTTAAGGAGCGACTTTGAGCAACTTTGACAATGTGATGGCTAGATGAAGCTCTTACGAGGTGTTCCCGTTCTGCAGTGGTCAGTACCTATCAAAAGTGGTCATGCATCACAATTTGGCCCTTGCCAAAGACGCTCAAATCCTTACACTTAACCATTTTACCTGCTTCTAAAACATCATCTTTGAGGACAAAATATATCCCACCCACTGACAAGTGCCATGACAACGAGTTAATCAGTGTTATTCACTTCACCTGTCAGTGGTTATAATGTTATGGCTGATCATATAGCACCTTTCTAGTCTTCCAACCACTAAGAGTGCTTTACACTACATATTCACACATTAGGAGCAATTTGGGGTTCAGTATCTTGCTCAAGGACACTTAAGCACCACCCAAAGCATACATTAAAGTATAAAACAGTCTACAGGGACTAATCCTAACCCTAGCACATGACTGACGCGTTGCACTGGCAACATCTGGCTCAACAAGCTGACACAGATGAGTCAGATATATAAATGTTAAGGGATCTTCATCGGGGTCTTAATAATTTACACATCCACCATGGGATCTTCTATGAATGATGATGTCATTTTCCAAAAGAACTGATTGGTCAATAGGCTGTGCTTTTATAAAAATAAAAAACGTTTTTGTTACCTTAGAATGAATCATTTATATCTACAGAGTGAGTGGGCCCTCTTCTGCAGAGTCTGCCATGTTGAACTGAACTGAACTGAAATGTTTATTCCGTAGCCCATAACAAATAAATCAAACACTGGCTGCAGATAGGGCCCAACACTGAAACTACACTGCCAGATGGCACCTTAATCCTACACACTGGTTTAAGTGTACACTATATGTAGAATATTTACCATAGTGTCATATCTCTTTATAATGCTGCCTTTGACAAAAACTGTCATTCTACCTTGCACAACACCAGAGTAGCTAGTCTACTCAATTGGTTAGTTTGTGTGTGACTGTGGTGTTTTAAAAGGGTTAGTTTGATCCCAACTAACGTGTTAACTAATGAGCAAGGCAGCCGTAGAACAGCAACTTATATGTTGTGCGAGTTAAAATGACTGGTTTTGTTAAAAGTGTCTGGGAGAGCACAGACTCAGTTCCCTCGTCAAAAAGGGCTGCCTGACAGCAAGGACAAAGGGTGAAAATATTACAAATGCCAAAATGCATTTTGCTGTTGTCTTATCAGATAATGATAAAATAAAATCTTATGTGAAAAAGTTTGCACTGAAACTATACTATAAGAGTATGGGTTTTATTTGACTACAGTAAGACTGAAGACTTAAAGCCATCTAAATCTTGATTTAAAAAAACACAATGAGGTTGACTTAATATAATAAAAACTAACAAGGACATTTATCCCAGGACTAAAAAAAAAATAGCAGACAAAATCAGTACTATACCAGATTGTGCCGGCACGGAGCCCATTGGAGACATAGTTGGCCTTATCAATGTCCTTAGTAAACACAGCGGCTGCTAGACCATATTTAGTATCGTTGGCTCTCGTCACCACCTCCTCCAGTGTTTTAAACTTCAAGATCTGCATCACTGGACCGAAGATCTGCAAGAGAAGACATGACAGAATAGAATAGAAACAAAAATTTAGAACGTAAATTAAATTACATCTTACATACATACAACATAATTTAACATGAGATGCGAAAGCAAACTATTGGAATAAACATTTCCACCTTTTACATATCCACCCCTTTCATCCACACACCCACAGGAACATACAAAATATGTCCTCTTTGTGGCACAACAACGTCTGCGCCTATACATGCAGCGGCCGGTAGCTCCTTCAAACTTGCTACAGTTTTGTTTTAATCTGCATCTCCCCCCCCCACACTTTATTGCTGAAAACATCTTTAAATGATGTCTCGTGAGATTTGATTTCAAAGGGCTACGCCAAATTTGTTGATCAGGAAATTTGGCAACCCCTGCTGCTGGTAGGCTAGCACCTTCAAACTTTTGCTTCAGGTGTTGTCACCCCAGGAGGAGAGGAAGAGAGCCGGATAGGAGCCAGGCTGGCCCAGCTTGGATTTAAGGCTGCTCCTGGCTAATGTCCGGTCTGGACGAAATGGGACTCCTGACCAAAGAACAGGAAATCAGAGACTTCTGTGCCCACATCTTTACAGAGACCTGCTCCATCAACATCCCGGATCCTCGATGGGCCAAGAGATGCATCATCTGGCTGTCGATAATACTTGCTGCTCAAATGCAGTCAAAGTGGTCCAGCTTTAGCTAGCCACAGTACATAAATAGGGTTTTTTTTTTTTAATTAACCGGACATTACTATTGACTGCACCGCCATCAGCCTGAACTACTGCTGCTACTACTACTACTACATTGTAAAATTACAATTAAATTATCTTGTACAAAAATGAAATTCAAGGTTTGAGTGATATTTTATTGTCATTCACAACAAGGCGGGAGAATAAAATTTAGCTATAGCAAAAAAGAAAGATAATTAATTCATACAAACTAATAATATTTTCAAAAAGAAAATATTAATTTGCATAATTAATTGTTGTGGAAGAATTCAATAGCCTCACTGTACAATATGTATTGTATTTCGGTTTATTTCTTTCTTTGCTTTCTTTTTATTTAGGCATTTTAAATCTTCAGTACAATCCTACCTCCTCCCGGGCAATGGTCATGTTGTCCTCGACGTCTCCAAATACAGTAGGTTGGATGAAGTATCCTCTGTCCGCAGCCACTCCTCCTCCACACATAAGCTTGGCTCCCTCTCGCTTCCCACTGCTGATGTAGCCAAGAATCTTGTTGAACTGCTCCTGATCTACCTGCACAGGTTAGAGAGTACATGCCAGGGAATTCACACTTTAGCACTGGATGTTCCTGGTCCAATATGCAACTTATACAGTGGCAACTTATACAAGAATGGAATTTACAGTGAAGTAGGATACATTTTGTGTCCAGCAGGAAAACTTTAAAAATGTACACAATTTGGATTTTTGTGATGGGGTAGAAGGAGTAGATTTTAATGTGGAAATTATTTTTTCTCAGAAAAAACATATCAGACACACATTATGTTAGCCCTCTTTACACTACTGGTGTACTGATTGACATTTATATTTATATATTTATTTCTTTATATTATCATTGTTTAACTTATACTTAGTTAAATAAATATTTAGTTAAAAAGTAATGCGTTGTCATCTCCTCTTTGTCCTACCCTTGAGCCAGGCTTTGACAGTATATAAAAAGGGAAGTGTTTCTTACTTAAGCACCTTTCTAGTCTTCCAACCACTCAAAGCACTTTATACTTCACGTCACATTTACCCATTCACACACTGATGGCACATAAAGTCGCTGTGAGTGTACCAGTGAGTGACAGTGGTGTGTGTTACCTGAGGTCCCTGCTCAGTCTTTAAGTCAAAAGGGTTTCCCACCACTCGTCTCTTAGCTCGTTCAACACTCCGCTCCACAAACTCATCATAGATGTCTGCTTGGACGTAGGTTCGGGAGCCTGCACAGCAACACTGGCCTTGGTTGAAAAACAAAGCAAAGTGGGACTGCTCCACTGCATCTTCCACTGAAAGAGGAAATGACAAAGACAACCTTAATTCTCATAAGGAAGATTCTTAAAAATAAACAATACTAAAACACTTCTCCACCATTATGTCAATGTGTCTTATTATGCATTTCAGGACTTTAAAGAGCTTTTGATAGCAAGTGAAAATCTTGTTTTTACTGACATCCAGTGGTTTAATTTCTCACCTTACTGTAGTGATGGAGAAGTGTACTCAGTTTGACAGTACACTGTGATCACTGTTAGGTAACAATAATCAACATAATAATCAATGCCATATATATGGATTTATATATCCATAATGCATAAGACTGAAGTCAAGATTTGAGGGGTTGACAGTACATTTAAAGTGTAACTAAATCCCTAAATTATGCTACATCTCTCCCTCCAAGCAAATTTTAAAAATACAGCGAAGGATGACGGAGGAGAAGACGGCCTTATGGCTACAGAATGTGTGATGTGGTTGTTAGCATCAACCAGAGGGACAGTAACCACTGAAAAGTTTAGCAGGGATACAGTTGCGGGTAGTCAGAGCTAACCAAGCTAACCAGCCATGAGCTAGTCTTCTGACACCAGGCGATTGGTAAGCGTTAGGGCTGTGCGTAAAATTTCAATAATATTCCAATTAATTGTGCAGCCCTAGTAGGCACTGAGTAGAGAGTAGTTCATGGGATTTCTAAAAGCAAAGTATGCCTGGATGGTAATTCAGCCTCTGAAAGCACAGTAAAAACAGTAGCATACAGTATCTTTCCACTTTAGAAACACAGACAGAATACATACTGTTGGCATCAGAGAGGATGATATTAGGACTCTTTCCTCCCAATTCCAGAGTGACTTTCTTCAGGTTACTACTGCCTGAAGCCTGCTGAATTAGATGACCTACCTGATGGACATACAGACAGGATGCAGGTGAGTTGTGACATTTCTCTCTTCTTGCATTTACTTCTTTTGCTTCATTCAGTGAGATAAATAAGATGTTTGTCCTTAACTCAAATTCATGTCTATTTCTTATTTTTAAAATGTGTTAATTAATCATCATTTGCTCTTTTTTCTCTCTGACAGTCACAGCTGACTCATAGCAAAGATAACATACAGGCAGAGAAGCACAGTGACCACACATACTGTATATACAGAGTGCCTAGAAACAGTATTCAAGCCTCACCCAGATAAAACACAAAACTCTTCACCCTTTAAATCAACTTAGTTTAAGATAAAGTAAAAATTACAGTTCAGTATACAGTCTGTGTCAGAGGTTTCATTCTGGCCAGCGGGATGTGTGAAAATTACAGAGAAGACAGAGTTAAACAAGGCGAACAAAGCACAATGCTTTATTGAACTTTATTCACCAACAACTGTAACTCACACTGTACATTTACTGCTAGACCTGATAACTTACCTCTCTGCTCTTCTGCCGTTAACCGCCCCGCTCACTTACGCTCTCTCTTTCTCGCTCTACCACACACACGTTACGCTGCTCTATTCCTCTTATAACACTCATTAGTCAAAATGACTTTGTCAAAAAGGAGACTAAACTTAGCAAACCAAACAGTGAGTAAACCTACTTCATGTAAAATGCTGCTTCAGACACTTTTGCTCTGTCAAAATGCATACTTACTGTGTCTAAATATGCATTTTGACAGATGCACAGATGTGAAAATGTATGTAAATTTTAAATAATTTCTAGATCTTGACAAGTTGTGAAAATTTTCACAGAACCGTTTTCTTCAGTTTGCAAAAGTGTCTGAAGCAGCATTTTACATGAAGTAGGTTTACTCACTATTTACTGAACATTGTGCACTAATATGTCAGTCAGCAGCTTTAGTACAAAATAGTTTGGTTTGGTGGAACTCTATTGCTCATGCACTGCCACAACTTTCATGTATTTTTATGTATACATTTTATACATTTATAAGGATAGGTTAAGTAGAATAACTGAACCTTTCCTAATAGCTCCCACTTTAGTTTGTATGCTGCAGTGAGTCAGTTCAGGTGGTCAGGATTACTGCACAGATGTTAAAATGTATGTACATTTAAAATAATTTCTAGATCTTGACAAGTTGTTTTAATTATTATTAACTGTAAGAGAAATTTACCCTGATCTCCACATCCACTGATCTTTAAATTGTAATGCACATGTGTAAATGAAATTAATATAATATATTGTTGAAATTGCACTTATTAGCAAATTCAGGTTGTTCATAATGTTTTGTGAAAAGGTTTATTAAATGTGATCATTTTCAGAATGTATTACTATTTAATTGCAATAAAACAAAGAGAATAATAAGGGGTTGTTGCTATTTATAGGTAATTATGCCTTAATTTTACTGGTCCAGCCCACTTAAGGTCAAATTGGGGTGTATGTGGCCCCTGAACCAAAATTAATTTGACACCCCTGGTCTATGTGGATAGTTGCATATCAGCAATTTATAATGGGCTGTGAGTGAACCTCCAGGAATGAAGTGAGTCTGAATAGTCGCTTTTCTGTCACAGAGTAATCTGTTACAGAGTAAAAACAAAACTCAGATGAAAAAGTCCTGAATAACTGCATGAACAAAAGAAAGGCGTTAAATCAGCAATTGCAACAGAGTAGAAGCTGCAGAGTGCAGAGCTCTGTGCAGACAATTGTCCCACCTCTGTGGAGCCAGTGAAGGCCACCTTGTCAACATCCATGTGCCTTGCAATAGCAGCGCCAGCTGATGGTCCCATGCCAGCCAAGATATTCACAACACCTTCGGGAAAACCCACCTGGAAACAGAACCACAACAACATCAACAAAAGCTTGAGAGAATTTGGTCATTATTTAGTTCATCTTTGAATCTCCTGTCTGACGAAATCTCAACAAAACACGATATTTTATATGTCAGTTCATTCAAAATATAATGTCATCTTCACCATATCATTATTAGAAATTATCTGAAAAAGGTAATCAAATGCAAAAAGGAGCATTCTGAGTGTATGATGTGTCCATTGGAGTGCACTGAAACACAAAAGGCCCCTTCTACAGCCTGTGTTTGATTTGTCCATTCTGGGCTACTGGAGAAACATGGAAATTCAACATGACTCGGACCCCATAGAAGGCCACCCGCAGTGTCTGTAAAAAAACAGCTCATGTATTGTGATTATATTCCATTTCTGTCATTAGATCCTTCTAAATGTTACACACTAGACATTTAAGAAGGGACATATTTGTGCAATGTGGCCATATTTCTTCTTGGTAAAACTCTAATTTCAGCATTATCAATGAACTGCAGTCTTCTCAGACAAAGAGAAGAAGAGATAAGTAGGCTATTGTAGTAACTATCCGGAGATCAATGCAAGGACAGATTTTTCCACTGCAAAACTGCTCAAATAGTACAAATAGTTTCAAGAACCTTTATGTTAAAGTTTTGAAGGTTCATTGCTTGTATCAAGCCTTTGTAACTCTGATTGTATTTGTAGTGGCCTAAATCTTATGCTGTAGTAGAATTATTTGATTACCCAGCTTTTACATAGTTCTAACATTTTCCACATCTGATTAGGGAAGTCAGAGGAAATCTTTCATTCCCCATAATACTGAGGCTAACAACTTTTATACATCACCCTGATAAACAAAGAGAGAGTTTAAAATCATACAATCTTAGATAGCATTTTCTAATTTGGGAACACAGCAGACCAGTGCAAGCTCTGGAGAAGAGAAAGACCATTAAAATCAAAGGCTAAATAAGAACAGAATTTTCTACTTTGAGTCCATCTTTTTACCCACTGAATGGTCAAGTGTAAATATTGTATTTGTAAAAAAGAAAATACTTTTCTGGTAAAGTCACATTAATTGATGTAGTATAAATTATGAAAAGTACCTCTTTAATCAGGCTGGCTACATAGAGTGCTGTGAGTGGTGTCTGCTCTGCAACTTTCATCACCACAGTGTTCCCAGTCGCAAGGGCAGGGCCAAGTTTCCAGGCCTGCATCAAAAGGGGAAAGTTCCACTGCAGGGAGAGAAGGAGAACTTTATTTCTATTTCCATTTCCATTTGAATTCCGTGCTCATACAAACTGTAGACGAAAAGTTGAGCTATTTGTGACTGTACGTCAAACTGTGTGCCAGTGTACTCATAACTTCAATGTACAATGTCTAATCTTCACTAAACTTCACATATTCTGTAACAGTCCCACACTGTACATGTCCTCATAACTTCAGTATACATGGTCCAATCTCAACAAAACTTCACATGTGATATGAGTCCCACCCTGAACATGTCTACATGACAATATTCACATATAGTGAGAGCGTGACCTACTGCTAACAGGAAGTAAGCACTGCGTGGCAATTATGATCTGATTTACGTGAATTTTTCATGTTGTGGTCCGCACGTGTTACGACGGCACGTGGCGCGGCCGCAGCACACCCCGAGTTGCGTGGAGTGCAAGGTCCCGTGCAACGCTGCTTGCAGCTTTAATTCTAGTTTGTTTTTCTTCACCATTTTTAGTTCATTATCACACGACTAGACTACAAACTGTAGTGTGACTCATTGTTTATAGTTTCCGATTGCTCTGATCAATATTCATTACCCACATAAGAAATGTGACATCACTTTTTTTTTTAGGAGCCTAATGCAGGCAATTTTCATTGAACTGACTTTTTTTTAATCACTGTGCACCTTGGATGATTTCAGCGTTCTGGCTGTGTTATGGCTGCGTTCACATCAACTTGAGCCCTTTGTGAAAAAATGCAGCCCTTTCTAGAGTAGAATTTTTGCTGCAACACAACGTCATTCAGTACAGCAATCCATTAGCCAATCAAGTACAAGCAAGCGTGTGATTGCTGTGTGTGCATCCTAGTAGATTACTTTGTAACAAGAACACTATTTCTACCATTTACCTCACAATCATCATCATGAAAGATTAAATGTTACCTTGTTGTGAAATCCTGTCTGCGTGCACAAACTGTTATCTTATCAGACGCAACTGTTTTGGCATCTGATAAGCCCTTAAATACATTAATCTGCAACTCCAACTGTCATCAGCTGACAGCTTGTTTAAGAGTTCTGTCCCTTACAAATTAACCATGAGAGACATAGAAACAACTGAAGAACTCAATGGAAGATAAACATCAACAACATCTGCAGAGAAGTCTGGGCAACACTGTATTAACATAACAAGCTATTGTGCCTTAAAGTACAACCTACAGTATCATCAAAAAGCAACCTCTGTGCAAATAGTCCCCACTGATGGCATGTGCTGTTTGTTCTTATGTGTGGGTTGGAGGGACTACAGCAGATAGGCACAGCTACTGCTTCCCAAGTTAAGATACTTCCAGTGACACTGAGTAAAGAAGCCTTAAGTTGGGGGAAGAGGCATGCATGTTTACATACCATATCTCTACAAACTAGTGTAGACATAATTCAAGATTGAGCAAGTCAACTAGCTGAAGAGGAACATGATTTGTCTCTATACAGAAATCTAATTTGGACCTTCAATTTGCATTTCAGGTGTGTCACATGGGTCATACTGTTATCTAGTCAGATACCTAAATATCTATAACATTCTACAATTTTAATTTCTGAACAGAACGGCTCTGAACATGGGCAGTAAGTAGGGCGCTCTTTAGTGACCTTACTATGTAATTTGCATTAGAGTGAACCATAAAAAAAAGTAGAGTGAAGTAATAAAAGTATATGTGAAATAGATTTTTCCCAAAGATGGTTTCGGTCATTTTAGGTAGTTCTTATCTTATCTGCCAGGCATATGGTCGGGAATTTGATATCGCAGCACCAAACCCTGATCACTACTGCGCAGACTCTGAATGACAAAAGATGGTAGTGGCCATATCCAGAATATTTTGGCTTAATTTTTGTACATTGGGAGGAAGTGTGAGACACGATGTCCATCTGTTTTATGTCAATGGAGCTGAGTGAGTGATTGGATCTCCATGCGTCCTCAGTGCATCTTGGGTGTATTCACACCTGCACATAGAGCTGTCCGCTTGAGATCGGCTCAGCCAAGACGCACTTTACACCAGGTCTAAACTGTTCCTTTTGTACAGAGATCTGATATGTATCAAAATCCGACTGTAGGTTTGTAATGGCGAGATTAGGACCTCATGCGTTCACTCAGTTTCCCTCCCTCACTGTCTAGTCTCTAGATAGTCTTTTTAAGGAAACTATGCTATGCTAAATTTAGTTTCCTCTTGTAGTTGTCAGTCAGCTGTGAAAAATCTGCAATGGTCATTTGTGTGCACTTCCATCCTCTCCATCCATGTTTTGTATATTTATTTTTATTTGATGGGATGTACAATATTTTAAACTTTTTCTCCCTGCTATTTTCTCCCTCCATCCCACTCCCCACCTCTCTCACCGGTATGATCTGTCCACAGACTCCAATAGGTTCATGTCTGGTGTAGCAGAAATAATCTCCATCGATGGGAATTGTCTTTCCTTCCCATTTGTCAGCCCAGCCTGCGTAGTACCTAAACACAACAACAACTGGTTTAGACACCTTAACAATATCTGTGCTTACACCAAAAGTGTTTTTTTAACTTCATCTTATTAATGTCTTACCTGTGAGATTACGGTAAAGAGCTAGATGTAACAGTATCGACCACCAAGAAAAAGGCAGCTGAAGGCATCAGTAAGATACTTCTTACTGATACTGATGCAGGGCAATGTTCTATTAGGGTTGTATTTTGGACTTTGTTTCCCTGTGGCCACACAATGAAGCTTTAAAATGCCATAAAAACCTGTGTTGTGCATTTGTTACCTGAAGCATTTCACCACATTGGGCAGGTCCACAGTGTAAGAAACAGCATATGGCTTCCCATTGTCAAGGGTTTCCAGCTCCTGTGTCAACAATAGCAAGTTTACATGTAAAACACTAATTCAAGTTTTGCAATATTATGTGAAATGTATTTCCAAATTTAAAAAATGCTGAAATTCGTCTTAGGCAGGTATAGAAGAGACCTGTTGAGGAAGTGTTTCCCTGACAATCTGGAAGAAGATATGATATAATATAAATAATGTATATGATTATTAGCGGGTCGTTCTTTAATCAGAAGGTTGTGGGTTCGATTCCCGGCTCCTGGTGCCACATGTCGAAGTATCCCTGAACAAGATACTGAACCCCAAATTGCTCCTGATGCCGTGCATCGGTGTGTGAGTGTGTATAAATGTTAGTTTCTGTTCGATTGGGCTTTGCCATCACTGAGTGAATGTGTGTGAAAGGGTGAATGTGGCACGTAGTGTAAAAGCGCTTTGAGTGGTCGGAAGACTAGAAAGGCGCTATACAAGTACAGGTCCATTTACCATTTACCATTACAGTATTTGCCTCACCGGAGAAATATTTTAGCAGAGAAAGTTTAAATTTGCTGGCCTCATTCTAATACTACTATTTCATCATATGCACTGATCAAACATCCTATGGGAAGTAAGCAGGTATGATTTATGTATAAACATTCACTTTGTTACACACAAAGCTTGATAAAATTACTTAATGTGGGGGGTGAACTTTCAAATAAAAAAATATATATTTAGGCCAAATTAGCATATTATTGTTTTTTCGATGATTGGGGGACACATCATCCAAATCCACATGATGTGCAAATAACACAAAAGGAAAAACGACAAAATCTTAACTTTTGTTTTATGTGGTTTCAGCGAAAGGACTGCCTAACAGCAAGTGTAGCTAGGAATTCACTTTTCTGTTTCCCATGTTTGCTTTTTGGAGGAGACACCGCTTGGACCCAACAAGGAATTGTGGATTTGAAACATTTATCCAACAAAATTAGGAAACATGAATACAGCAAGAGCCACATTGGAAGTAGCGTAACGTTGTCATTGCTGGGTAAAGTGAACATCGCCTGTCAGCTTGATGAGGACCACCGCATCGCTGTACAGAGACACAACGAGCTCGTAAAGAAAAACAGGAATTCACTATCCCGGATTGTGGACTGTATTACATTTTGTGGGGGACACGAGCTTGCTCTACGGGGGTCCGATGAATCTCCCACTTCACTCCAGCGGGGCGTGTTTCTGGACCTCGTCGACCAGTTCCCTTTTTTAGACAGTCAATTAGCCGATCACAACACACTGGTTGCAAAGAACACATCTAAGACTAGCCAAAATTAGTTGCTTGACTGTATGTCAGATATTTATGGACAAAAACTGGCGGATGTGGCTGTGCAAGCTGACGAGACAACAGATATGGCCTGTGTAAGTCAGTGCGTGTATGGGCTCAGGTACATCACTATAGCCTACGATGGTGGAAAGATTCCTCACTTTCTCCCCGTAAGTGGACAGAACTGCTGCTGGACTCGAAAAAGTGCTGCTGGAGAAGCTGCAGCCATATAAGTTGGAGAACAAACTGATCGTGCAGACATATGACGGGGCAGCTGTAATGAGTGGTGCATAATCTGGCCTACAGGCCAGGTTAAAGGAAACATTCCCTCACGCACACTCTGTGCACTGCTATGCCCACCACTTAAACCTGATCATGCAACAGGCCTGCTCATCTCGCACACGCGTCAGAATATTTTTTGCCTACATCTCAGCTTTTGCGACGTTTTTCTCCAAGTCCCCCAAAAGAACTCCAGCCCTGGATGGAGTGTGTGGCAGGAGGATCCCAGAGTCAGAACAAACACGGTGGAACTTTAAAAGTCGCACCGTTCACACCATGTTTGACCACCAGGACACTTTGAAACGGACCACAGATTCTCCCAAAACAAGACAGGCCCTGGAGAATTTTCCGTGCTCCATATCTTAACTGAAGGACAAGCTGACCACATATGACAATTGGCCACATCCAGATGCGGACACAGCATGGATGCGGCGCTCTAATAATGTGTCAGCCGCACAGTGCTGTGACATAATGGTCAAGCAGTCAAAGGCTCGCTTTGAGAAAGCCAGGCACTTGGTGTCTTTGAAACTTATTGACCCTCAACTCTTTCCGCTGGTTAAGAACACCTGCAGAAGCAGCTGGACTGGATTGCATGTGAACATTACCCAATGATCCGCAGAGAGAAAGAAAGGTGAAAGGTAAGCTGATAGTGATGTACAGCAGTGTGGAGTTTGCGGGCCTAACGTCCGCAATGTCACTTTTGAGGATGCTGACTGAGAACAATCTTCAGAGCACTTTTTCTGAAACACTGAAAGTAACGCAAATAGCCATCACAACCCCCATTACATCTGCAGAGTCAGAGAGGTGTTTAGTACACTGAAGAGGATCAAATACTTTCTAAACGCACTGGCTATGCTGTCCTTCTAGTGGGACCAAAAATCACCGGACTTCAAGATAGATAGATATATACTTAATGACATGGTGATTAACCTGTTTGGGTCACAGAAAGGCCGCCGATGTGAGCTGCTTTTAAAATAACGTATGCCCAAGCACTGAAAAAACTCTCTTCTACAAATACTGTCATTTTTACTTTTGTCAGGCTCTACGACGTAGGGTGTTACAGTGGTCTAACTGTATTAGTTTAATCAATTAATGGTTATCAAAAATTTGAATTATCAAAAGATAATAGAAAATGACTTTAATTAATATTAAAGTTCTTCGGGGCACCACCCTTAAATAAGGGAACGATAACCAATAATCAGTCTCATAAAAATTACACTAAACTATTAATTCAGATATCAGATTAATAATTGAATTAATAATTACAACCAAAATCATTAATAATAGCTAGAGTGGGAGCTTTGGAGTTTTACATAGAAGAGGTTGGTATCAGTCACTCTTGTACGAAATTAAATAGGCCAGCATATGTAAACACAAACATTTATTAACCAGATATAATAAAAGAAAACAGAGGAAAAATACACAATATACAATCTAACTTAAAAGGAGAAAGGAGTGTGTGTGTGTGTGTGTGTGTGTGTGTGTGTGTGTGTGTTTGTGTGTGTCTGCGTGTGTGTGTGTCTGTGTGTGCATGGGGTCATAAAAGGTCCTCTGACCAGATGTTTCAGGGTGTGAAGACTGTGTTGTTGAGAGACAGAGCAATAGAGAGGCGGGAGGATTTGAATCCCACCCCATGTGTATGTGCTTAGACCGGGTATGTGTGTGTGTGATTTTTAGATAAACGTGCCGTAAAAAGGTAGTTAGTGTATTCAAAGACGATGTCTGTGTGAAGCATTAACCTAACATCACCTTAGCACTGTCTCAAAGACTACAGTTACTACAGTAACCTCAGTTAATTAAATCAACATCACAATACCACAGTAACCTGAATAACACACATCAGCAACATTAACAATACTTAAACATTCCTTGTTTAGCCGTTAACTCTGTTAAGTTGTCTGTCTATTCCCAGTACGTTACCAACAGTCCAATGGAGATGAAAAACAGTTGCTGGTGAGCTGCGTGGGTCAGCCAGCAGTCCTGTGAGCCAGGCTGATCAGAATTGGGGTTCTGAAGTCCAAAGAGTCTCTGCTGTACGATGTCCGCTGGTGCAGGCATCGCAGGAAAAAGCAGGCTTTTGCGCCATGCTATAATCCTATTGTCATGCGTCGTCGGTGGGTCAGGCCGCACCGAGGTCCAAACTTATCACCGGGGGGGGGGTGTGAGCAGGAGCGAAGGTAGATGGGAAGAGAGAGAGAGATGATCATCTCTCTGGCTTAAATAGCCGTGATGACAGGTCTGGTGTCAGAGCGAATCTTGACCAATGTTTGCCGTTTTATTATTATTTAACACACACCCTGGCCGCATTCCAGGAAGGAATTACTATTATTCAGACATTTCAAATGGCTTTTTGGAGGCTTTATCATATTCGAAAAGTCCTGAAAATCTGCGCACTGGTCAATCGTGGCGAAACTTGGCAAATTTTATGGGTCTTCGGGGAAAAAATGGCTCGACAGCGCCCCCCCTATTGAGCAGCCCCAACAGCACAGTTCACCTATGAGTATGAAAAGTGGTACACATGTAGATCACCTCATGATGTACAAAAAAATACTCTTAGAGCCATATCCCAAACCCAACAGGAAGTCGGCCATTTTGGATTTAGCTGCCATTATTGGCGTTGTATTTTAACGGACTCCTCCTCAGGAATTTATCAGCTTGACTTCAAGTTTGGACACTGCAATCCAAAGACTTTCACGATTAAAGAGTTGTGCTGTTTGTAACTGTGCGTCAAACGAGGTGCCCCTGGCGTGGTGCCAAAATTTGAAGCTTATCCATGAATCAGGAAGTTGTCACAAGTTCTGCGTATATTGTCCAGTCTCAGCGAAACTTCACACGTTTGATAAGAGTCCCGCCCTGAACACGTCTACATGACAATATTCAGTCTTACTTATAGCAACCCTACTGGCAACAGGAATGAAATGTTTTATACTTTTATGTTCTACTGCTAGCAGGTTGATCAGATACAGCTGAAATTTGGTCAGAAAATGCAAAACATATTGATTGATGATATGTGATGAATGAGGTGAGTTGTCAGTGAAGGCCGTGCCGTGGCATGGTGTCAAACGTGGACGCACATGAATTTGCTGTAACTCGAGTGTACATTGTCCAATCGACTCCAAACTACACTGATAAGAGTCCCGCCCTAAACACATCTATGTGATAATATTCAGTAATAGTGATAGCGCCACCTAGTGTCCCCCCTCCTTCACCACAGAGACAACTCTCTGCCTCCAGGAGAGGGACGTCAACAGACTCTTCAAGAGGCAGAACCCCCGCAAAGCAGCCGGACCAGACTCTGTCTCACCATCCACCACTCACACACAGCACTGTGCTAACCAGCTGTCTCCAGTGTTCACTGACATCACCTCACTGGAGACATGTCATGTGCCAGCCTGCTTCACAGCCTCCACCACCATCCCCATCACCAAAAAAAAACCTCAGGACTCCATGACAACAGATCTGTCACCCTCACCTCTGTGGTCATGAAGTCTTTTGATATACATATACAAGTACAGGTCAATTTACCACCAACCTGCAGTTCCCCTACAGAGCCAACAGGTCTGTAGATGATGCAGTAAACATAGCACTTCATCCTCCAGCATCTGGACTCCCCAGGAGGAGTTTTACGCTCTAAAAACAGTGGAGATGGTTGTGGACTTCAGGAAGAACCCAGCTCCCATCATCCTATGCGACTCCCCAGTTGACCTTGTGGAGTCCTTCTTCTTCCTGGGTACCATCATAACCCAGGACCTCAATCTCACCAAGAAAGCCCAGCAGAGGATGTACTTCCTGCTTCAGCTGTGGACGATCAACCTGCCAAAGACGATGATGGTGCATTTCTACACCGCCATCATCATCATCGAGTCCATCCTCACCTCTTCCATCACTATCTGGTACGCTGCTGCCACTGCCAAGGACAAGGGCAGACTGCAGCGTATCATTTGATCTGCTGAGAAGGTGCTTGGCTGCAATCTGCCATCCCTCCAGGACCCTAAGGCATCTTTTTCTTTATCTTTATCTGTCTTTATTTATATAGTACTTGATTTTTTTGTAATTCTTGTGAACCAATGGAAATTCCTCATATTTGTAAAACTTACTTGGCAATGAACCTGATTCTCACTTTATAAACCTTGTTATAAGTTGTCATAAATGATTATAAACATTTATAGAGCTTTATAAATCCTTAAATTATAAATTATAATAATCCATTATAGACAGGACCTTAAAGGGTTACAGTAAAAACTTAATTGGCAATAAACCTGATTCTGATCAAATGCACAAATGTCAGCGAGGCCTCTTTAGTGTGCAATAGCAATATTTTCTTAAAGGTAGTTCCATCTTTATAGTTCCATCTGTTAAATTATTCAAGTAATTTCTAATTATGTAAGCATTTTTATTCTATTCAAGCAAAAGAGTAGTATTTCATCGTAGTTAGTTTTGATTCTTTATCTATCTTTTATTTTCTTGACTGAAAGAAAAAGCAGTAATTTAAATACTGGATGTATTGTGTGGATGTATGTTTTGTGAATATTATCTGATCATTAATGTCAATAGTAAAATATGTAAAATATGTGTGCACGTTCTTGTGAACATACCTTGTGGAGCAACAACAAATCATTAAATTAATAAAATCAGCACTCCCCCCCAAATGCTGTTGTGTAATGTTTTGACATTTAATAATGACTCACAGCAAGATAGGCAGCATCCCTCTCAATGGCATCAGCCAGTCGGTAAAGAAGCAGGCCACGATGAGAGGCATCCATCCGTCGCCATGGTGACCCCAACCTAAAGGCATCACGTGCTACTTTCACCGCCTTGTCTACATCTGCCTGGAAACATAACACCACAACGTGATTAAATTAGTTAGTTGGTGGTTTTAAAAGGAATACTACTGTGAAAATGGCTTTTTCAGATCATTTGAAACTGTGCGTAGAGATAGATTTAGCAAACTGGCACAGCACTTAATTGACATCGGAGTCCAGCCTGTCGTGTGGATGCAGCAGCATCAAAGTGGGTAGCAAAAATTGTTGATCGACTTAACTTAATTATGATTTGAATTGATGTTTTTACATGTTACACTTCTAATTACCCAAGTAAAAATATGTGTGTTGCACAGGGTCGGGTCGTGGGTATTATACTAACAGGTCCAGATTTGACTTGGAGATAGATGTGGATAAAGGGTTGGTTCCGGTACTGAGCTCTGCAAATGCAGGTTTGAAAAATTGGAGCCATGCAGAGCTCTGCTTTCGAGTATCAATCGGTGTAGGTTAAAGCAGACCGATTATGCTCATTTCCAGCTCTGTATTCTTAGTCTGAGACTCCACTATTCAATTCAATTTTATTTGTATAGCGCCAATTGATAACAGAAGTTATCTCAGGACACTTTTCAAATAAAGCAGGTCTAGACCGAACTCCTTATAACATTATTTACAGAGACCCAACAGTACCACCATGAGCAAGCACTTGGCGACGGGGGCAAGGAAAACCGGACAGACCCTTTGGCTCTAGGTGGGTGGTCATCTGCCTGGACCAGTTGGGGTGAGAGAGAGAGAGAGAGAGAGAGAGAGAGAGAGAGAGAGAGAGAGAGAGAGAGAGAGAGAAACAGACAGAGGAGGGAGAGAGACAGACAGACAGGTGCACAGCAACAACAGTAGCAACAACTACACTAATAGTAGTGACTGATGAAGAAGATGATAATGACGACAACAACGATGGGGGACAATGAGCAGTGACAATAGTAATAATATTAACTGTAGTAATAATAATATTAATAATAATAATAACAATAATATCAGCGATATTAGAAATGGCAGTCAAGCAGGACCATGGCAGGAGGCTCCACCAGGATCCATGAGAACCTACGAGACGAGAAAGCACAAGAACTCCGGGGAAGAAGGGAAGTTAGTAACATGCATTAATGGGACATGAATGAGTGCAGAAAGAGAGAGAGAGGAAGAGAGGAGCTCAGTGCACCAGGGGAAGTCCCCCGATAGTGTAGGCCTATAGCAGCATAACTAAGGGATGGTTCAGGACTCACCTGAGCCAGCCCTAACTATAAGCTTTATCAAAGAGGAACGTCTTAAGCCTACTCTTAAATGTGGAGAGGGTGTCTTCCTCCCGAACCAAAAGTGGAAGGTGGTTCCACAGGAGAGGAGCTTGGTAAGATAAGATAAGATAAGATAATTCCTTTATTTATCCCCCTAAGGAGAAATTCATTTTGACACAGCAGCAATAGGGCAAAGCAGCACAAAATCACAGTCAATATTATTCATATTAGAAGATATAAAAACTATAAATTAAAGTATATACACTAAAACTAAACTAAAACTAAAACTACTAAAGTGGAAATCAAATATAAACAGTGCAAAAGGTTTGCACGTTGTAGGTAGGAGTTCTAAACCAGTCTTTATCTGCTGGGGTTTGAGGAACTGGGAGCTGTGGAGTTGTGGAGTCTGACTGAAGGCTCTGGCTCCTGTTCTACTTTTTGAGACTATAGGAACCACAAGTATCCCTGCATTCAGAGAACGCAGTGTTCTAGAGGGGTAATAGGGTGCTATGAGCTCTTTAAGATATGAAGGGGCCATACCATGAAGATCTTTGTAGGTGAGGAGGAGGATTTTAAATTCTATTCTAAATTTTACAGGGAGCCAGTGCAGAGAAGCTAGTACAGTGTGAGATTAGTTTTTCTGCATCCGTCTGTGAAAGGATGTGTCTAATTTTTGTAATATTACGTAAATGAAAGAAGGCAGTCCTAGAGGTTTGCTTTATGTGGGAATTAAATGACATGTCCTGATCAAAGATAACTCCAAGATTCCTGACAGTGGTGCTAGAGGCCAAGGTAATGCCATCTAGAGTAACTATATCTTTAGACAGTGAGTCTCTGAGGTTTTTGGGGACAAGTACAAGAATTTGTTTTTTTCTGAGTTTAACATCAGAGTTTCTCTCTCTCTCTCTCTCTCTCTCTCTCTCTGTCTCTCTCTGTCTCTCTCTCTCTCTCACCCCAACTGGTCGAGGCAGACGACCACCCACCTAGAGCCGAAGGATCTGTCCTAGGTTTCTGCCTCTTAACAGGCTGTTTTTCCTTGCCCCCGTCGCCAAGTGCTTGCTCATGGTGGTCTGTTGGGTCTCTGTAAATGTTATAAGGAGTTCGGTCTAGACCTGCTCCATTTGAAAAGTGTCCTGAGATAACTTCTGTTATGAATTGGTGCTATACAAATAAAACTGAATTGACTTGAACAGGTCCCTTTACCATTTACCCTATATATATATATATATATATATATATATATATATATATATATATATATATATATATATAACAGAAACTAAGAAACTTAAAAAAACCTTTAAAGAAAGGTACAATTCAAATGACCATGGATTCCAATGGTGAAAAATAGTTAAAACATCAAATTCAAAAGTGTCAAAAGTACAATCCACTTAACTGCACTCATTCATGTCCCATTAATGCATGTTACTAACTTTACTTTTTCCCTGGAGTTCTTGTGCTTTCTCATCTTGCAGGTTCTCATGGATCCTGGTGGAGCCTCCTGCCATGGTCCTGCTTGACTGCCATTGCTAATATCACTAATATTACTGTTATTATTATTATTAATATTACTATTACTACAGCTACTATTATTACTATTGTCACTGCTTGTTGTCCCCCATCGTTGCTGTTGTCATCGTCATCATCTACTATTGGTGTAGTTGTTGCTACTGTTGATGCTGTACAACTGTCTGTCTATCTGGCTGTCTGTCTCTGTCTCTCTCTCTCTGTCTCTCTCACCCCAGCTGGTTCGAGGCAGAAGACCACCCACCTAGAGCCGAAGGTTCTGTCCTAGGTTTCTGCCTCTTAGGCAGCTTTTCCTTGCCCCCGTCGCCAAGGTCTTGCTCATGGTGGTACTGTTGGGTCTCTGTAATTAATGTTTTAAAGAGTTCGGTCTAGACCTGCTCTATTTGAAAAGTGTCCTGAGATAACTTCTGTTATGAATTGGCGCTATACAAATAAAATTGAATTGAATTGAATTATCCTCTGGTGATTCATATATCAATATTCAAACCATAACTAAAAAGACAACGTTGGTGACGTGCTTTTAACTTTTCTTTTCGTTGAATTAAATTTTATTTGGACGTTAATTTGCAGTTTAATGTTACTTTGCAGTTCCAACAAATGTTTACCACAAGTGCTCCCACCTTTGCTGGAGAATAAATCAATTTGAATTAAAGCTGTATGTATGAGATCAGAAATCAGATTTGGTTACCTCATCAGCCTCTGCAATTTGACAGATAACTTCACCAGTTGCTGGGTTGATGGTAGGGAAAGTTTTCCCACTCGCTGCATCCTGCCACTGGTTGTTGATAAATAGCTGAAATATTAAAATGGATAATTACAAAGGTTTCACAACATTGTATTCACTGCTGAATAAAACAACTTAACAGGAGTTATTGAAAGACAGAAATTTTAAAACTTCAACTTTCATTTTTTAAATAAACAAGAAATCACATACTTCCACCTCTGTTCATCATGCTACTGTGAATCTTCCCCCTGCAGAGCAATAAACTCTTATCTTCAATAAGGTCTTAGTCTGACCTCTTGCCATATAAAGATGAGGTTTTGTCTTAGAATTGCCACACCTGACATTTCTCGAAACTTTTGCACTAAGCTTTTAGGGAGGTTTTAACCCCAGACCCTAATGGCCCATGACTGACAGCGGCTCCAAAAAAGGTTGGTATTCTTTACAATATCAAATTAACCATTAATCATTAATAATAGAATATTGTATGTAAAATGCACTAATAAAACTTAAAAAAAAAGTAAGACCCCAGATTGTCTCTATATTGCCCAAACACCGGACCCCATGCACATAAAATGTGTCCTGGCCCCTGACTGTGATGAGCTTTCAAAAGTGTAGTGAAAGAAAAGAAAAGAAGGGGTAACAGAATGTGACCCGATTTTTCACAAAGAAAGGTGGGTATAGTCTGTAAGTGGTGTGGCTCAGGAGGTAGAGCGAGTCATCCACTAATCAGGTTGCCGGTTCAACCCCCCAGCTCCTTCTGCTGCATGTTGAAGTGTCCTGAGCAAGATACTGAACCTACAACAATGGATTAGTTTTTGTTTGTGATGGGTGCCAACACTGTATTAAAATGGGGGAATGTGTCATGTAGTTCAAAAGCGTGTTGAGTGGTCACAAGACTAGAAAGGCACGATACAAGTACAGACCACTTACCATTAACCTGTTAGCAAGTGTTTACATTTTATTCCTCTTTTAGCTGACATTTAATCAATGCAGGCAAATCTTTAGCAACTATTTATACTAAATCATGTGTCCACAATATTTATTGGCAATAAATCTTATACCATTGGAAAGCCTGTTTATTTCCCTTTTAAATGGTGCCACATTTGTAAGGAACATGCATGCATTGTCTTTGCTGTTAACTCTTGTTTGGTGTTGTTTGGTGGATTGGATGATTGAAGTCTGAAGAAACATGTTGGCAATTTAACAATTTATTAATTGAACAAACAGGAGCCTCAGTAGCGTTACTGAGGTAAGTTAAATATATATGATACTGAGGTTAGTTAAATATAAATATATATTATATATATATATATATATATATGATTTTTGAATGCATTGCACTGACACACCGTCTAATCAAATGTACAGATTTTAATAAAGTAACATCCTGAACTTTCTCTGGATTGTTCTCACCAATTTTGAAGTTGTTCTGATCAATTCACTAGGAGTTTGTTAAAATAGAAACTTATCGTAAATGGCGTGACAGTTTGACATTAGATTCAAAATGACCGACTTTGATGGCATGCCACGTACACGCCCTTCAACGTACAGTCACAAAAAGAACAACTTTTAATCAGCAATATTTCTGACTGTACTGAGAAATTTTGAAGTAGGAGATTCAAGGAGATTGTTCAAATACAATGCAAAAAAATTGCCGAAAATCAACACAAAAGTCAAAATTGATGGCATGCCAACGGCTTCAACGTACAGCCCAATATTAAATCAGCAATGTTTTTTAATTTTCTATATATTGTTGTATATTGAAGTATAATGTACATATCTTTACGCACAATATGGTATACAGTGTTATACACGGATCAGCTATAACATTATGACCACCTGGGCACCCTGACTGGTCTATGGCTACGCAGCCCCATACAACAAACTGTGATGCACTGTGTGTTCTGACACCTTTCTGTCAGAACCAACAGTAGCTTGTCTGTTGGATCAGACCACATGGGACAGCCTTGACTCCCCACATGCATCACTGAGCCTTGACCACCCATGACCCTGTCACTGGTTCCTTGGACCATTGGTCATAATGTTATGACTCATCAGTTTATGTTGTAATATAATGGACATATTTCAATGTTCTTATTTTTTTTATTCTTATACTGTCTTGTCTAGCAACTTTAGCAACTGTAGCAATCAATTTTCCCCAAGGGAACAATTAAGTATTTCTGATTCATTCTGATTTCTGTTTTAGCAAGACTACCAGCTGGGTCCGTGTATGTTTTGGTCATTGGATTTTCCTTTCAGAAACGGATATTAAAAAACAGAAAACGAGTGGTTATTTGTTTTTTTTTTTTAAATACAAAAATTAAAATTGAAATACAAGGCGTTTTTCTTTTTCATGGTCAAAAAGGGATGAGCGAAATTTAAAAAATGATTCGATTTTCATTTTCTATTTCATATAACAAAAAATAAAATCACTAGAAAACAGAAACGGAAAAAAGGCCTGTTGTTTCATATTCTGAGACCGGATGTTGTCATTTACAGGACGGTGCTGTGTAGAAGAAACAGTAGGCTAGTAAACTGCGGTCAATCCAGCCGTGAGTCCGATCTCCGTGGTCAAATCAGCCGCACTTAAATTTAGAGTGTACAAGTATTCTCAGCATTATGGTAAATGCGGAGAAACGCCGTATTTACTTCCGGTTTTCAAAATAGAGGTATTTAGAGCCGTAAGCTATAATTAAAATATGTTACATTAAAGTGTTGTGCCCCTGATGAAAAAAAAACCACTTTATATCAAGTATCTTTACTGCACCAGTGTGGAGAAATGCCAAAATAAAAGTCTCATATTTGGTCGAGACAGACGACCACCCACCTAGAGCCGAAGGGTCTGTCCTAGGTTTCTGCCTTTTAACAGGCAGTTTTTCCTTGCCCTTGTCGCCAAGTGCTTGCTCATGGTGGTACTGTTGGGTCTCTGTAATTAATGTTTTAAAGAGTTCGGTCTAGACCTGCTCTATTTGAAAAGTGTCCTGAGATAACTTCTGTTATGAATTGGCGCTATACAAATAAATAAATTGAATTGAATATTTATGCCTCCAGAGATTGCATATTTGAGGTACTGTAAAAACATATTGCTCAGTGTTTCCTGGCTACTGACTTTTACACATATGAGACTACAAACATACTTAATATCAAGCATTTTTACTTACCAATTTGGACCTCCAAGTGGTATTTTCATATATTTGAGCTACTGTAAAAACACTTTGCTCAATAATTCCTGGCTATGGATGATATATTTGACTTCTACACATCTAAGACTACAAGTATACTTAATATCAAGCATTTTTACTGTACCAATGTGGAGAAATTGAAGAATAAAAGTCCCATATTTATACTTCCAGATTCCATATTTTCTTATATTTGAGCTACTGTAAAAATATAAACTGTATGTGGAACCACCTGCAACAGCTGTCACACTGAATAATATAAAAAATAATATGTGAGGAAGAGACAGTAGGTACAATGGTGTTTTGAAGTTAAAACTAATTATTTTTCCCTTTTACCTACAAATGGACACAGCAGAGCTGCAAAATAAGAAGAATGTGGACTGGCATTGCATTTTGTGTGAAAAGTAAACAAATTAGAATTGTGTAGGATTTTGTGTTTAGTGTTTAGTGTTTATATTATCAAGATGTTATTAAACATTTGTGTGAAATTTTGTCATGATTACTGCAGCATTATTGAAGTATAATGAAAATGCTTCACCCATAGCCTGGAAATATTGAGCAATGTGTTTTTACAGTAGCTCAAATATATGAAAATACCACTTGGAGGTACAAATATGGACTTTTATTGTTGAATTTCTCCAAACTGGTACAATAAAAATGCTTGACATTAAGTATGCTTGTAGTCTCATATGTGTAAAAGTCAAATATACCATCAGTAGCCAGGAGACACTGAGCAATATGTTTTTACAGTACCTCAAATATGGTCAAATATGCAATCTCTGGAGGCATAAATATGAGACTTTTATTTTGGCATTTCTCCACACTGGTGCAGTAAAGATACTTGATATAAAGTGTTTTTTTATTCATCAGGGGCACAATGGTGTACAAGTATTCTCAGCATTATGGTAAATGCGGAGAAACAGCGTATTTACTTCCGGTTTTCAAAATAAAGGTATTTAGAACAGTAAGCTATAATTCGAACCTACATTTAAAATAAAATATGTTACATTTAAGTGTTTCATGCGCCCCTGATGAATATAAAACACTTCATATCAAGTATCTTTACTGCACCAGTGTGGAGAAATGCCAAAATAAAAGTCTCATATTTATGCCTCCAGAGATTGCATATTTGACCATATTTGAGGTACTGTAAAAACATATTGCTCAGTGTTTCTTCTTCGTTTTCTGTTTTTTAATACCCGTTTCTGAAAGGAAAATCCAATGACCAAAAGATACACGGACCGAAGGCCCATCCAAAACTGAAATCCTGGCACTGTGCCTGCTCCAGCTAAACGATTTACTTGGCACATTCACGAGTTGTTGGTTGAAAAAACAACAATTCAGACCTGACAGGAGTCAGGACGCAGTGGTTTCCTGGCACAGAAGAGAACCAGACCCTCCAGAAAAACCAACCACTTTTTAACAAGAAGGACGCACTGTTAATAATTAACGTTATCACCTCACCACGTGAATCATTTCAAAGTAGGATTTCGCAATGGTTGTTTTTCTGGATTGCTTTCTACAAAAAAGTTCTTTAGTTACTTCACTATGCTGCACACCTGATACAGTGTTTGTGGTAACTGTTTTGGTACAGCATTGTAGCTCCAGTACACAAAGAAGGAAAGAGAAAGACAAGAAAACAGCTCTAAAACCCCTTACACAACACACAAAAGGAAACAAACACGTCCAGTTGAGTTCAGCTGTCCCTCGTTTCGTTAGCAGGAACTAATGCATATAACTGGTGCGTCTGGATCCTAGACGTCAGCTTTAATCGCGAACGTTTTCCATGCCGAAGAAGTCATTGAACGTCACTTGAAGTAGTGAAAATTAGCTAATCGCTGGAGCATTTACACTGTCAAACAGTGTAACGGTTGATCCGCGGCGCAATAAAGTAACGTTAACGTTACACACTTGTTGATTGCGCAGTTGGCCGATGTCCAGCTCTTACGGTCTGTGTGGCTAACTAACGTTATACCTTGTTATAGTGAACGTCGGGCTGGGTGCTGGGTGTCGGGATGGCAACCGCAGAGTAGTGACACACCGATAGTCGGTTCAGTCTGGGAAAAGTCCGAGACAGCACGGTACGGATCATCTTGTTCTTCTTGCACACCAAAGGACACTGACACCGTCCGCTTGCAGCCAAGGCAACGGCTAACTGGGCAACCCTACCCCCCCCTTCTGTTGCGTCATTACGCAACATTACGAATAGACGCCCATTTTTTTTTTTTTTTCTTCTTCTTCTTCTTCTTCTTCTTCTTCTTTTAGATTTGATTGGCGGCTGGCATCCAGCTTATAGGTGCATTGCCGCCACCTACCGGACAGTTTTTCTTCTTCTCTACGTTGCATTAATTAAAAAATGTAATTTTAATTCAGATATAAGTGTCTTTTTAATAAAACCCCAAGAATTATGTTTATTTATACCATGTGTTTAATGTTTACATGAGACAAAAAATGGCTGCAGACGGATGAGCTTTTTTTATGTTATATAGCCTACTGTCAATGGTTATGACGCACACAATATCTTGTGTAGGCTTTATGAAGACATAGTTCTAACACAACCCAGTTAGATAAGACCACATGGAGTTAATGTACTAAGCAATGGTTAGTTTGTCGTACTTGTTTCACTAAAGTAACAAATAATGCTGAAATTAATTTAAGAATTTAACAAAAAATCAGTTAAATTGTACTTAGCATACAACATTCTGAACCATCTGTGTTTTGTGGCCACTGAAGTAAAGTGGGGGGCCCTTTTCACTTCGTCATACTTTTATTTTTATATTTATATTTATATTTTTTATTTATGTATTTATTTGTTTTTTATCATTTTAACAATCATACATACTTAATAGTTTTTTTGTCAGGTTCAGTGTTTTCTTCTCATTGTTCTATTAGCTCTTTGGTTGTTTGAACTTTTCTAATGCAGGACAAAACTGTTTATTAGAGAGTAAAGGCTCTGTGAATATAGCTTTTGTTCATCTCTTCCAAAGTTTAGCTATTAAATAATCATCTAAACTTTAAAAAAAACTATTTCATTTAGTTTTCTTCACAGATATGAATTAAATGCTCAGATATAAGCCATAGTTTTCTTCCATATCTTAAAATTAAGAAGGCTTGTGACCCCCTGTGAAGCTTTGGCGACCCCCAGGTTGGGAACCACGGATTTATAGTCATCCATTAGCAACTTTTAGGGAAGTACTTAATACTTGTTTCTTAATCAACTAGTCTTTCACTATTTATTAGCTATGCTAATTACTCATTAACTAATGGTTCACTACCAGCTGGTTCCTCATTCATTCCTCATTTGTTCCCGGGTGGGACGGCAGTAGCTAACCTGCAGGGACTTGGCTTGGGAACCAGCGGGTCGCCGAGTCAAGTCCAGCACAGATCACAGTATGGAGTGTGGACTGGCAGCTGGATCCCTAACTATAAGCCCTGCATGTGCATGATTGTTTTTCGGCCGTGTGTAAAGTAAGAGTGAAAAAAGAATTTCCCCTTAATAAAGTAGCCTATATCTTCTTTTTCTTAACTACTCAAAATTGTGCATCCCTTATTGTAAAGTGTTACTGAGAACCATATTTTCAACCATCAAATTTACCATATTGTCATAATTGAACCACAACAGAATAATGCATCCATAGTGCTTGGCTGTGGGTATAATTCTATTTATATCTATAGATTTCAATAGGGATAATGCATTTTATTATCTTTTATTTTGGTAACAAACACATTTTGACAACATACGACCTTTACAGATTGTTATCACTTGAAATTGTTTATCTTTCCTTTTCAGTGTTCATGAATAGACTCCCAAAAACTATTGTCCGATATTGTCGACAAGGTATTGACCCATAACAATATTGTTATGGGTAAGCCCCATAACAATATATTTTACTTTTTTCTACTAAAACAGATAATGCACTAAATCCTACCTTTTTTTCCTTCCTATGCGTTTTATTTATTTCATTATTTGTGTTTTGCCTATTTCGGTTATCGTTAAAGGGCGGCTGTGGTGCAGAGGCAGAGCGGGTCGTTCCTTAATCCCCAGCTCCTGGTGCCACATGTCGAAGTATCCTTGAGCAAGATACTGAACCCCGAATTGCTCCCGATGCCGTGCATCGGTGTGTGAATGTGTATGAATGTTAGTTTCTGTTCGATGGACTTTGCCATCACTGAGTGAATGTGTGTGAAAGGGTGAATGTGGCACGTAGTGTAAAAACGCTTTGAGTGGTCGGAAGACTAGAAAGGCGCTATACAAGTACAGATCTGTTTACCATTTAAACTATGGTGTGTGTGTTTTTTTTTAAATGAAATAAATTAATTTAAAAACATATAATACTATCAAAATATTACAAAATTTCGAATACAAGTACTTAAACTATGAGATCGCTGGATATTTGAATGTATTGTTTGATTCTGTATTGTGAATAACTTTGTAAAGTCTGTTTCAAGATGAGGTGCATAAATGAATCATTGATCATCCTTCTTCATTTAAAAATAATGATTGAAGTATTACTGTGATAATGCTTAACATGTACATGTATTGAATCAGTGGCAAGGGTGCTATATATCGCCACAACCGTGTGTGATGGCCACGCCTAAATGAGAACTGTTCTGATACTGTTGCGACATGATCACTTTTTCCATTTTGCTCTTTATTTAATTGACAGATCTAATGAGTGATGGAGCGGGCACAAGCAAACGTACGAACGGATAATTACTGTGTGAGTGGAAATGAAGCTGTGCCCACAATGATTTAGATGTATAAAGCAAAACCAGGAGTGCCCTCATGGGGGGAAAAATATCGCCTCCGGTACGCTAGGTGGCGAACTTTAACATTTGAGATTGCAATTCGCCAAAAAACGCAAAGAAGACGATGATACCCCTAGGTCGTACAATGCAGTTAACTTAGCTTGTTGATAATTATTTAATTTGTAAACATGTTTATTCCTCGTATGTAATTAGCAGTAGCGTAGAAATCAGTAAAATAATTTCACAGCGGTAAACGCTAACTTTAGTGATACAGTAAAGCTAGGCTTATTGCTAGTTTAGCAAGCTTCTAGCTAACGCTACCTAGCTTAGTTAATAGCCCTAACGTGTTAGGGTAACTTGGCCAGCAAGAGGCAACAATTCATATCGAAAGCGTCGGAATTGTAGATAAAGGTAAGTTTATCTTATCACGATCGTGCAAACAATGTTAGATTAAAACACACTATGGTCCACGGTGCTTTAGAAATCGCAATGCAAATGACTAATAATGTCACTTTTCAGTGTAAATCACTTAACGTTAAGGAAGTTTAAAGCTAACGTTATAACGTTTATGCAGAGTTATATTATTAGGCTAAAGAATAAGAGTGGGGCCTTTCGCTAATGTCGTGTTCTTTGTTTTGAGAAGGAAGTGACATAAAAGGAAGTTTTGTCCTCAACTTCTTTCATTTGAGAGAAGTACATAACACAGCTGTGGGTCCGATCTGCTTCATTCGAAAGCTCCGCTGGATCAGGGGCCCGGAGCACAGTCTGCTCCCTCTTTTTATACGTTTGTTATTCTGGGTGTCATCCTTTCTGATTGCTACATGAATCACTACTCTCATTGAACCTTGTTTTGGGCAGAGGCAGTTCTCTGTAAATAATTATTTAAAGACCATTGTCTATATTTTGCTGCACTGTGTAATATCATAGAGTAAACACAAAAACAGATCACTTCCCAGGCTTGAGGTACTACTCAGAGTTGGATCCAAGGGCAAAAGGTGCACTTGCTTGTGCACCATTAGTTATTGATTCTTTGATTTGATTGAGTGAGTGATTATAGCTCAGTATGTTTATATCAGGGAGACTGTTCAGAAATCCTGCAGACTAAGGTCATAAAGATGAACAGGAAGGATTTGTGATCGTGTCAGCAGAATATCTCTTTGTATAGTGTTCTTTAGGTTTTCACCACACCCTGTATAACACACAATTTTCACATATGTTTTGTTAAAAAAATATCTCACACTAAGAGGTTATTTTATCTTGTATCTGAAGTATCCAGTTGCTGCATTGTTCTGTCATTTCACTATATTCATAGCTGTCTTTGATCAATGTTTTTGTCTTATAGTATGACGCTCAAGTCAGGAGAGGAGCGTCTGAAAGAGATGGAGGCTGAGATGGCTCTGTGAGTACCACCTCTTAAGTTTGGCTAGCTCATCCATATCACAACATCCTAACATAAACACTTAACTCTGGAAACACAAGTTACAGAGTTTAAATTTTGTTGCTTCAACATGTATCAATCCTTTGTAGCTGCACTCTTTCAGTGGGATTTTAAGAAGAAATAAAAGCTGCAAGCAACAATGAACAGGCCCTCGCACTCCATGCATGTCGGGGTGTGCCTTGGTTGGGTTATGCACCAGTACATCATGCTAACACCAAGCTATGAAAATGGAAATCTCATCAAAATGCCACACAAGACTTATTTCACCTTGCCAGTAGGTGACACTATGACAGCGACTGAATATTGGCACTTATATGTGTTTAGGCCAGGGCTCACAAATTTGTGAAGTTTGGGTTCAACTGGAGAATCTGTACTGCAGTTAGGTTTAGCGTCGGTGTTTCCATTGTCATGTCAACGCTGATTTTTGAAGGGGCGTCACAGACACACAATTTGAACCGAATGTAAAGATTTTGATAACGTGTCTTCCTGAACTTCTCTTAATTGTATTCACCAATTTTAAGGTCATTCTGATAAATTTCCTAGGAGTTTGTTAAAATAGAAGCCCGGAAATTGCCAGAAATGGCGTCGGAAATTGAGATTAAATCCATAATAGCAGACTTCCTGTTGGATTTAGCATATGACTCCAAGAGGCTTTTTTGTAGACCCTGACATATTCCCATATGTACCAGTTAAATGGGATGCTGGGGCTGAATTTCTAAGTGTTTTATTTTACAACAATGCCTATATCATGGAAAAATGTAATCTTTCACACCATGTCACAGCTTAAAAGTTGTGCTCCTCATTGAATTTTCATTTTTATTCATGAGTAGCACAAATTTTAATCCTGGAGGTCTTTAGAATGGGATCACCAAGTTTGAAGTCGTTCTGATCCATTCCCTAGGAGGAGTTTGTTTAAAATAGAAGGCCTGAAATTACCAGAAATGGTCACAGTTTGAGATTAAATTTAAAATGGCCGACTTCCTGTTTTGGTTAGGATATGGCTCCAAGAGGCAATTTTCATACATGTCCATGAAACAGGACACCGGGGCTGCCTTTTTGAAAGTTTGTAGGGGGCGCTATGGAGCCATTTTGACACACCCACATGCGAGACCCAGATGAAATATAAAATTCTGACATGTTGGAGTCAGAGTCGCTACAGCAACACGTCTGATTAGACGATGTACACTCAAGTTATACCAAATGAATGCGTTCTGGTGGTACATAAAAATTTGATGCCACGGACATGCCGTTCAACAACAACTCACCATATTCATCAGATATCAACAATATGATTTGCGTCTTCTTACCAGACTTCAGCTGGATCTGATCAATCTGCTAACGTGATAGTTTGAAACATGACATTTCCTGTTGCCAGTCAATGGTAAATGGACCTGTACTTGTATAGCGCCTTTCTAGTCTTTCGACCACTCAAAGCGCTTTTACGCTACGTGCCACATTCACCCTTTCACACACATTCACACAGTGATGGCAAAGCCAATCAAACGAAAACTAACTCATTCATACACATTGGGAGCAATTCGAGCCACAGCCAAACCAGTAAGGGGCACTTTGAGTATGACTGAATATTGTCACGTGGCTGTGTTCAGGCTGGGACTCTCATTAGACATGTGCATTATGGTGCAGATCGGACAAAGCCTTTGCGTGGTTAGTGTTCGGGCCCTAATTGAGATTTCTCACTAAACTAAGTTCTGGTTGGTTTATCGGATACAGAATTGAACACCAACTCACAACGCTGTTTATTCACCATCAGTTATTAGAGTTTTTGTCCACTGTTACCAAACTAACTACAGGTTTACAGCTTCCTGTCTCGTGCTGGAGAGAGAGGCTACCCGTGTCTGCTCTCACTGGCTGTAGCGTCTTGCATGGCTCCCCTAGTCATCTCCAACACAGATATTTAGCTTGCTACATATTTTTCTGGTGTCGGTGGGGCATCAGCTAGCTCTTGTTGAGTCTGCATGTCATGTCGTTGAACAATTCACACAACTCGATCCTCCTCACGGCAGCTAGTGCCAATTTGCCTCTGACCTGTGGGCATTTGTCTGCGTTCTCCCTAAATAGTCAGGAAGTGAGAAATTAGAACTAAATTCACGTTGTGTAAATTGGGCTTAAATGGAACAGAAGCTTAATAAGTATGATTGGGTGTTATGAAAAAGGTCTGTTACCAAAATGTTACTTGTTAAATCACCTGTGTTTATTTAAGTTGACTGAGCCTACAGTTGGACTAGGTTGTTAGTGGGCTGTGTACAGTTTCACTTGACTAAATGGACTCACTATAGGAAGCGTTGAACCCCCCCTTCCATTCACTGTTTAATCTCTCTGGGAATTAATGCTTAGCTTTTGTCATCTGCACCATTTTTAAAAAAAAATTGTTTTTGGTCCATTTATTATTATTATTACGCTTAGGATCTTTCACTGCATTTTTGACTCCCTGAACATATACGAAAAGTCTATTTTATTTGACAAAGTTGTCGGGCCTGGTGTAATCTTGGATATTCTATCCGTCACATTCAGATTGGCCAGTAGGAAGGCCACTAGGTGGCACTACTTTTAGGCAAAGTTCGATAGGCTAATAACTCCTGCATCATTTGTCTCACATTCAAAAACCTCATATCCACGCATTCGGTGAATGGAGCTGCATCTCCCTATATAGGCCACGCCCACTTCGTCTAGATTATTTTTTTGCTAGAGCGCGAAATGTCTTAAAACTACGTTTTCGTGTTCCATCCATGCGCTTTTGTCCGATTCGCATGAAACTTTGCACGTAACATCTGGAGACCGTCCTGGCAAAAAAAGTAATTTAAACTATTTTGATATTTCAAAAAATAACCACGTTATAAAATTAGCACTGTTGATTTTTCGTCAAAAAAGGAAGTGGGGTATTTCTCCACATTGGTATGTCCGATCAACACCAACCTTGGGTCCATAGTTCCTTATGTCTTTATTAGGCATCGTGCACAATCGTGAACAGTTTGAGGCCACTGCCACAAGGTGGCGCTCTTTGAAAGGAGAATGTTTATATCCCATGGCTCCCTGAGGCTCCCTAAAAAAGGTGTCAACAGTCCACCACCGGGTGGCGCTCTGGTGGAAGATAATTAGCTGTGCGGAGACCGTAATAGTTATGAATATGAAATTCACAGGACACGTGTAGACTGGTGCCTGTAGCTCACATACCAAAAATCGTGTTTGTCATGTTTGTTTTTAAAAAGCAGCCCCGGCGCCACGTTTTGCCGATATGTATGAAACTCGGTAGGCACGTGTAACGCGCCGAGACGTACAAAAAAGCCTCTTGGACCCATGCCCCAAAACCCACAGGAAGTCGGCTATTTTCATTTTTAATTTTCACTCTCGGCGGCATTTTGTGGTCATATTCACTTTTTGGGCTTGTATTGGAAGGAACTCCTCTAGGGAATTTATCGGATCTGCTTCAAAATTGGTCAGTACAGTCAAAAAATGTGCGAATGAATGCCGTGCTATTTGCGACTGTACGTTGAAGGGTGTGTCCGTGGCGTGCCGTCAAAGTTGGCCATTTTGAATCGAATTTCACACTGATGCCATTTCTGGCATTTCAGGGTTCTATTTTAATTAACTCCTACAGGTTTTATCGTCTCGACTTCAAATTTGGTCAGTACAGTTAAAAAATGTTGCTGAATGAGCGCCTTGCTTTTTGGGACTGTACGTTGAAGGGCGTGTCCATGGTGTGCCGTCAAAGTTGGCCATTTTGAATTCCGTGGTCTTGTATTTGAACAAACAAACTTCTAGGGAATTTATCAGATCTGCTTCAAAATTGGACCGTACATTCAAAAAATGTTACTGATTAATTTTGTGCAATTTGCGACGTATGTTGAAGGGCGTGTCTGTGGCGTGCCGTCAAAGTTGGCCAGCTTGAATCGAATGTCAAGCTGTGATGCCGTTTCCGGCATTTCAGGGCTTCAATTTTAACTAACTCCTCCTTCAGATTTCATCGGATTGATTTCAAATTCGATCACTGCAATCTAGACACATTGGTGATCAAAAGTTAATCAAATATTAACTGTGTGTCAAATGGCCTGTCCGTGGCGTGGCGCTGAATTTCCAAGTTTCGCAGTGATGAATTTTGCTATGAAAGTGCAAGTCTTGGCACGGTGTCTGAAACGTGTGACAATGTAGAGCGGTCTCCCTCAGCTTCCAGTGATGAAGGCTTGGGCGTGGGGTGACGTGGCATGGCGCCCGAGTTGCGTGGAGCGCGAGGTCCCGCCCCAACCCTGCTTGCAGCTTTAATCTGTCATTCTTTCTTTTCTATTTGTTTTTTAGTTATATAAATAAAAATTTTTAAAATCTGTTGTCTCCAGCCTGGGTAAAACAGTCAGCCTTGTCCTTATACCTCTCTTACTGTAGTTTTGAGCAGGAGGTCCTTGGTGGTCCAGTACCAGTATCGGGAACCCCACCTGTTATGGAGGCAGTACCTGTAGCTCTTTCTGTATCTGCAGTTCCAGTAGTGCGACCCATTATAGGCACCAACACCTACAGACAGGTTTGTACTATTCTAGTAGTATCCAGGTGGTGATCACTACCCACTCTCTACTCTTAAAAGTGCTACTGATGGAGGAAATGACTTGAATTTTTTTCTATTCCATTGCATACCATTCACCCTGTTTGTAACATTTCTCTGCCTCACACTGTTTGCCGTTCTTTCTCTTAGGTCCAGCAGACATTAGAAGCCAGAGCTGCTACTTTTGTAGGTCCTCCACCACCAGCCTTTGTGGGACCAGGTGAACATAAACTCTCACACATAATGACTAGGGTTTGACAATAATACACTATGTATTATATACTCTGTCCATCATCATTTAGAGTCATTTCAAGTTAAACTGTCAGCTCATGTTTTGTAACAATACACAATAGGGCTGTCACTTCAAGTTCAAGTCAAGTTTGTACGAATCTGAAATGACCCGGAATGAATTAGAATAAATAATCTCAAAATGCATAGTATGAAATCTCTAACTCTGAGACTACACAGGAAAAATTTGCTCTTACCATACTAATGAGTCACATATCTTTATATATATATCTTGCTAGCTTATTGATGATTTTTACAAGCTTCTGGCAAGGGCCCTGCTGAGTGCGTCAAATAGTAGACACAGTTGTACACCCTTGCTCTTTTAGTCTGTGGTGCCTCCACTCCATTGCGTCACTTGGGTGGCAAGCTAATTTTATCAGGTCAGTCTTCAGATATGTTGTCGTTGTAGAGTTAGACAGCTGCTTTGTATGAAGACGACAGAAGCACACTGCTTCTCAGACACTTTTGCGTCACGATTGTCCGCTCAGGACAGCTTTGCTCAATGCTTTGCTCACTAGTGTCCTTACCAGTGTGCTCCCTATTTTCATGGTAAACAACATATTAGCACTTTTAATTTTGACACCATGGCCACTGCCAAAGATCTAATGCGATTCTGTGAATCCTTCCCTTGCTGTCCACAGCTATCAAGCAGCTACCCCATGTTTCTGTTGGTAACATTTATCAATGCATTTCGCAAAACTCTGCTGTGAACAGCAAGGAGAACGCATGAACAGGGACTTTTTATTTCTTCTGTAACAGCAAACACAACACACAGCCTTTCAGTAACTATTGTGCTTATCTGTTACAGCTGACTAAAGTAACTTTATTACCATTTATAGCATGCACCTCCCACAACAAACGTGCTAGTCTACATCACATTAGGGTTCAGGTTACACCTTCCTTAAAAGGGGGCTGGTGGCTCTTTGCAGGTGAGAAAAATCAGCTGTTTAACAGTTTGAAATAAGTTATTGTCACATTTTAATTATTTAAATTTGACCATATGGCCCTAGTATGGTGCATTCCAAATCAAATTGTGGGTTTGGAGAATTACACTTACTGTGTGACTTGTGTCTGTCCCAGTTCCTCCAGTACGTCCTCCCATGATGAGACCAGCCTTTGTCCCCCATATACTGCAGAGACCTGGTAAGGTTACCTTTAGACTGCTAGTTTACTGGTTTATTCACTTTTCACTATTCATAGAAATGTGTTGGTGCACGTTGTAGTAATAATAATAGTTAAAGCTGCAAGCAGCAATGAATGGATCCCCGCACTTGTTGTGCTGCGGCCACGTCACGTGCCGGCGTAACACACGTGGACCACAACATGAACATTTCTGGTAAATCAGATCAAAATCGCCCCCCAGTGCAAAGTTGATCCGATAAACTTTTTGGGAGGAATAATAATAAGAATTCCTGCAGTCACGGCCAGTGCTCGAGCCCTAATTAAAACTGCAAGCAGTGATGCGCACTCGTTGCACATTGGGGTGTGCTGCTGTCAGGTCAAGCACCAGTACATCATGGCAACACCAAGCTACGAAAATTTCACAGAATTCACATCACAATCGCCACACAAGGTTTACTTCCTGTTGCCAGTAGTTGACGCTATGACAGCAACTGAATATTGACAGCTAGATGTGTTTAGGCCAGGGCTCTTAACTAACTTTTGAAGTTTTGAAGTTTAAGTCCAAATGGAGAATCTGTACTGCAGTTAGGTTTAGCAGTAGGGTTAGGGTTTCAATTGTCATTTTTGAAGGCACGCCAGGGACACACTGTATGACCGAATGTAAAGATTTTAATAATGTAACATCCTGAACTTCTCTGGATTGTACTCACTAATTTTGAAGTTGTTCTGATCAATTCACTAGGAGGAGTCTGTTAATATAGAATCCTTGAAATTGCCTAACATGGCGTCACAGTTCGACATTCGATTCAAAATGGCCGACTTTGACGGCAAGCCACGGACACGCCGTTCAATGAATATTTATGAGGAGCACAACTTTAAATCCTTAGGTGTTTAGAATGTGCTCACCACATTTGGAGTTGTTCTGATAAATTCCCTAGGAGAAATTTGTTAAAATAGAAGCCCTGAAATTGCCGGAAATGGCGCCAGTTTGACATTTGATTCAAAATGGCCTACTTTGACAGCACGCCACGGACACGCCCTTCAATGTAAAGTCACAAAAGCACAACTCTTAATCAGCAATATTTTGTGACTGTACTGACCAATTTTGAAGTAGATCCGATAAATTCCCTATGAGGACTTTGTTCAAATACAACGTGAACATTTTCTGAAAAATTACAGCGAAATTCAAAATGGCTGATTTTGACAGCAAGCCATGGACATGCCGTGCAACATACATTTACAAATAGCACAACTTTTAATCATGACTGTACTGACACATTTTGAAGGAGTTCATTCAAATACAACGCGAAACAATAGCCGAAAATGACCATGTTGTTGATGATATTTCGTGATTGTGATGAGTTTTTGTTAAAGGGCATGTCACCACCTACTGGTAACAGGAAGTAAGCGCTGCGATGCGATTATGATCTGATTTCCTTGAAATTTTCATGTTGTGGTCCACACATGTTACGATGGCACGTGACGCGGCCGCAGCACACCCCGAGTTGCGTGGAGTGCGAGGGCCCGTTCATCGCTGCTTTAATTATATTTGAATCATATTTCTGTCAATACTATATTCAATGTTTTTTTCATTTACAAAATATTGACTACATGGAAATAATATTTATTAAGTTTGTGATATGACTGAATTTAGAGAGTGAAATGATCTTTGCTCTTATCTGGTAACCTGCTTGATTGAGGAGTATATATTTTAATATAATACTGTGTTGATAGGTGGTCAGAGGCTGCAGGTGATGCGTGGTCCTCCGATAGCACCTCCTCTGCCCCGACCTCCTCCACCTCCTCCCATGATGCTCCCTCCCACCCTGCAGGGCCAGACACCTCAGGGTCCTTCTCAGCCTATACAGCACATGGCTGCGGTACCTCAGGTCAGAGCTCAAAGACACAAACAGGGTTGGCACGACTTTAACCCAGGCCATTGCTCTATGTGCACAGTATCGCTTTATGTCTTAACTGTGATATTGTCAGCAATTACTGTTCCTATAAACAGAAATAATACAGGTGTAAATTTACTATCCCTCTTGTGTTAACATTTATAATAGGCTCAAACACTAGTTACATATTGTAACTCCATATTCTATGAGTATAGGCACAGCCCTCAAAGGTTCTATTCAATTCAATTTTATTTGTATAGCGCCAATTCATAACAGAAGTTATCTCATGACACTTTTCAAATAGAGCAGGTCTAGACCGAACTCCTTATAACATTATTTGTCACTAGTGGCTTCATGTAGTGACTTTTAGTCTACACCCACTTACAACGTAGACCCCACCTCAGAGCCATAGGGCCCATAGCCCCATAGAATCTGCAGTTATGTAAGTAACTTTCTAGTTACTGTTGTTGCTGTGCACCTGTCTGTCCGTCTGTCTCTCTCTCTCTCTCTCTCTCTCTCTCTCTCTCTCTCTCTCTCTCTCTCTCTCTCTCTCTCTCTCCCTCTCCCTCTCTCTCTGTCTCTCTCTCTCTCTCTCTCTCTCTCTCTCTCTCTCACCCCAACTGGTCGAGGCAGACGACCACCCACCTAGAGCCGAAGGATCTGTCCTAGGTTTCTGCCTTTTAACAGGCAGTTTTTCCTTGCCCTTGTCGCCAAGGTCTTGCTCATGGTGGTACTGTTGGGTCTCTGTACATAATGTTATAAAGAGTTCGGTCTAGACCTACTCTTTTTGAAAAGTGTCCTGAGATAACTTCTGTTATGAATTGGCACTATACAAATAAAATTGAATTGAAATTCATTTAGGCTTTGTTCTCAAAGGTTAATGCTAGTGGGATGCAGGTGTGTCCTTCTGCACCAGGTCCATCCGGTAGCCACAAGCAAAAACACACGCGCACACACACTTGGTGACAAATCAGTTTCCTGTCCTGTCACAGTATATCATACATGCATAGATGGCACAGAGATAGTACAATACCTATGGCGTGAGGGAGAGCGCACAGTTAGAGCACCCCAAATTAACAACTGACAACTCTGACAAAACACTCAATACAGTGAGTCATAGAAAAACGTTCTCAAATCAAAACATCTTAAAGGTCCAGTGTGTAGGACTTGCTTTGTGCAGTGTAGTTGAATATTGCAACACCCTCACCTCAACCCTCCTTTCCAAGTGCGAATGAGAAACTGCAGTGGCCGTAAAACGTTAGAAAAATGCGAACGCCTCTATCTACAGCCAGTTTTTGGTTTGTCCCTTCTGGGCTACTGTAGAAACATGGCAGTTCCAGCTGCCGAACTGCTGCTTCTGTAGATAAAAACGGCTCATTCCACAGTTCTTATTTTTAATTGATTATACACTAATGAAAACATAGTTATGCATATTATATTCTATTTCTGCCTTTAGAAATGTTACACACTGAACCTTTAGCTTAACCATCTCATATTCTGCTTTAGTACACCTTAAGAACAAATATTACCGGGACCACTACAGAAAATTGCAGATGAACACTAAATGTCTGTGAATTCACATTCTAGACACTACTAATGACAAAACACATCCAGCTAAATACTAGTCTTGTTTCCACATTGGTTAACTTGAGACCTACCTTGTGTCTGTTAAATTCTTGTGTCTGTTGGCGTGTGTCACTCAGGTCGGTGAGATGGTTGCGATGGTGTCTGCCCCGAACTCGAGACAAGGACCCCCGCCTCCGATTAAACCAACACCATCAATCATCCAGGCTGCACCAACTGTGTACTCTGCTCCTCCTGTCCCCCCTGGACATAAAAGAAATGATGTTAGAGCTCAGAGACAAGCCAGAATGGTATTTTCATTTTGACTTATATCTAACAATACAATGTCTAGGTGCTCTGTTGAAGTATTATGTTCTGAGAGCTTTTTGTGCACTTGTCTCTTTCTTCTTGTGATTTTATGTTCTGCTTTTATTTCCTGGACGTGTGTTATAACACTAGTGACAGTGTGACTACATGAACAGGCAGAGTACTAATATTGTACTATTAGGTGGTCTGAGCCAGTCTTACTGTGTCTAATGTGGATCTTTCAGGAGGAACTGGCAGCCCGGGTTGCAGAGCAGCAGGCAGCAGTGATGGCAGCAGGTCTACTGGACAAGAAGGAGAGTGAAGACAGCAGCACCGTAATTGGACCTAGCATGCCTGAGCCTGAGCCCCCCCACACTGAGGTACATTTAAAAGCAGTAGTCTGCTTTTTTGGAGAGTCAGGAAAGGCAGGGGAGGAGAGAGGGGATGATATGCAGTTAATGCCACAGGAAGGACTCAACTTTGACACATGGTACAGGTTCTTACCAGTGAGTAGTTTCACCTCTTTGTCCTATTTCCTGCCTAAAATTAAATAATATTATAATGGTAAAAAAGACATTACTAGATGAGTCATAGCTCTGGAGATTGCCATTTTAGGTGAACTTAAATTGTGGTGTCCACACATGATTTTAAGCTAATGTCCTGGTTGACATTTTATATAATACAGTTAGGGTTCAGGTTACATCCTGCTAAATGAGAGGACAATGCCACCTGCGGTTATAAATTTGTACCAGCATTGGGTAGTAATAGTACAGATTTGCTGTTATACCACAAGCCTGAACCAGCTCTGGGCGATTGAGACATGTAATATGATGCACCGTGACACTGCAGTGCCGGTGTTTTAGCCTTTATGCTTTGGAAAGGATTTAGTAAAGATGCAAACTGCACTATATGGCCAAAAGTAATTAGACACAAACATTACCACCACATGTGATAGTTGAACATATCATCGGCGGCTGTGGTGCAGAGGCAGAGCGGGTCGTCCCCTAATAAGGTTGTTGGTTCGATCCCCGGCTCCTGGTGCCACATGTCGAAGTATGCTTGAGCAAGATATTGAACCCTGGATTGCTCCCAATGCCGTGCATCGGTGTGTGAATGTGTATAAATGCGTTTCTGTTCGATGGGCTTGAGTGAATGTGTGTGTGAAAGGGTGAATGTGGCACGTAGTGTAAAAGCGCTTTGAGTGGTCGGAAGACTAGAAAGGCGCTATACAAGTACAGGTCCATTTACCATTTACCATCTAAAAACTATGGGTGTTATATATATGTTACATATTGTGCTTCTGTAACAGCCTCCACTCTTTTGTGAAGGCTTTCCACCAGATTTTGAAACCTGCCTGCAGGGATTATAATATACAACTAATAATTTACTAATGCGTGGCCAAATGTATTAAATAAACATGGACTAGTGCCATGAAACTGTGCATATGTAACCACTGTGTATTGGTAGTTGGTTAGCAGGCATGCAGAGTGTATAAAATATTGGGATTTACCTAAGATGGCTAAAGTTTGTTTTAAAACAATAACAACACGTGTAAAAATATACTTTTCCCTTTGAAAAATATGTATTTGTGACTTTTAGGTAATTGTGTGTGTGTGTGTGTGTGTCTGTGTGTCTCTCTCTCTTGTAGCCTGTGGAAAGTGCTACAGAAGACAAAAAGAAAGCAAAGGTGGAGAAGGTGAAGAAGTGTATCCGTACTGCAGCAGGGACCAGCTGGGAGGACGCCAGTCTGTTGGAGTGGGACGCAGGTACAAACTGCTGGAGGGGCCGAAGGACTGTGATAAAGTCATCAGTCAAAACAGCCTTAGACCCCTTCTAAAGATTATTTAACATAAAATGTCAGCATTTTGTCAATTGTTTCTAGCAAAGCCATCACTAACACTGTCCTCTGTTGTTTTTACCATCCTCTCTTGTACCTTGTTTGGTCTGATTTATGATTGATCGCAGTTCTTTAACCGCACACACCATTGTTTAAATTTACTTGGTGATTTGATGATAAAGCTTTTCTTTATTGATTACCTGCTGCAGGATAAAGGTAACATTGTCTCAATCTTTGATAATGTTCTTGTCATGTTTACGTGAATCCTGTATCCTCTCTTTGTTGCAGATGATTTCCGTATATTCTGTGGTGATCTTGGTAATGAGGTCAATGATGACATCCTGGCCAGAGCCTTCAGCAGATACCCGTCTTTCCTCAAAGCTAAGGTTGGCTTGTATTTCTGCTTAGTTTGAAGTCATTAGTGTCTTAAAGTGATTACAAGAGTCAAAGAAAATTGTACAGCCATGGTCTTTGTAGTTTTTAATCATCATTCCTATACTTTCTGAGGACATTTAAATGGACACCCATTTCTGCCAATTTAAAAAAAAAAAAGAAGGATCCGGGAAATCATTATGAGAAACTTTCTCAATATTTTGACTAAGTATCTGAAAAGATTGACTTAGTAGCTCAAATAATGAGAACTTCCTCAAAACAAAGACTTAGTATGTCAAAATATTGACAAACAGTCTTCATATTTTGAGACTCTCTACCTGATAATTTGAGACAGACACAGAGGTACATTTCATTATACTACATCAATAAAAATTTGAGTAATGCAGGATTGGCGGCTATGGCTCAGAGGCAGAGCAGGTCATCCACTAATCGGAAGGTTGAAGTATCCTTGAGCAAGATACTGAACCCCAAATTGCTCCAGATGCTGTGCATCACTGAGTGAATATGTGTGAAAGGGTGAACAGTGTTTCCTCTAGGATTTTTTTTAGCAGTGGGGGCAGGCCCGTCCGAACACCCCCCTCCCGTCATGCCCCCCGTCCCGTCGGCAAACGTTTCCTGTATGAAACAGAAGTGACACTTGGCTGCGACACAAACAAATATATTTACCGTTTTGATGTATCCAGATGTTTCAGGATGTTGAGCTGAGAACTGACAAGTTGAACGTTGTCCAATTAAAACGGACCCACCGCGGTGACGTTTTTGGTGGAGCTGCGAACGTTTTGACAATAAACTACATCAACACAACAGTATGTGGAGTTAAACTGGACAGCCCCAATAACCTCTGAATAGTTCTACTTGTTGTTAAATTGCAGCCAACAAGGGTGCATTATGTCGGCAGGATCATTTAAAAGGCAACCGTGACTACATTGTGCGTCTGCCCCATTTCTGATACCATGGCGGCAGAAATTTAACAGCGGCAGGCCGCAGCTCCAAAGTCAACATAGAGGAGACACTGGTGAATGTGGCACGTAGTGTAAAAGCGCTTTGAGTGGTCGGAAGACTAGAAAGGCTATACAAGTACAGGTCCATTTACCATTTACCAAGCTGCTTACTTCAAAAACAGGATATATATTTTATTGTATTGTATTACTTTATTAATCCCACAACGGGGAAATTCCCTTGTCACAGCAGCAATTACTTGAAATAAATAAATACAGATATAAAAAACTATGATAAAAACTAAAACTATGGTATGGTGGTAATTTGAAAAAGAAACTACAACCTTCATCAGGTGTTGCAGATTCTGACAGCGGCAGGGATGAAAGACCTTCAGAACCTCTCCTTCTTACACCGTGGGTGTAACGGTCTGCTGCTGAAGGAGCTACTCTTAACTATTCAACAATGGGGCAATAATGTTTGGGTAATGCCTAATTTGAGGATCATAATAGATGTTTAACAATGTTCTAAATTTGTCATAGAAATTGACATTCATAAAGGTGTTAATAATGTTCCTTTCAATACACAGTGGACAATGGTGTACAAATGAAACACTGCTGTAGGTATAAAAGCTGTGTATGTGTGGTGCACAAATGAAATCATTGATTGTTGTCATCAGGTGGTGAGAGACAAACGCACAGGAAAGACCAAAGGCTACGGCTTTGTCAGCTTCAAGGATCCAAATGACTACGTCAGAGCCATGAGAGAAATGAACGGTCAGTCTCTTTACAGACACACTAAACCTCTTTCAAACTTCTTTGTCTAATGTATTTTATCCTTTGTTAATATGTTCTATTTTATTATATTTTATGTATTCTAGTATATTCTATATATTCTATTCAGTGTTTCCCAACCTTTCTCCCTAAGGGGAGCTCATTTTTATCGTTAAACTGACACCCCCAACTAATATTTTATGGATATTTAGGGCCCGAGCACAAATCATGCGAAGGCCCTATTGTATCTGTAAAGGTTATTATTATTTTAGTAACAATTAAATCGCATATTTGGAGGCTTTCCCATGCTCGAAAAGTCATGCACATTCAAAAACATTATATCAACGCGTTCGGTGAATGGAGCTGCATCTGCCCATATAGGCCACATCAACTTACTTCGCCTGTAATTTGTTTATGTAAGAGCGCGAAATGTCTGAATAAACTCCTTTTTCGTGTTACTCCTGTACGCTTTGTCTGATTCGCGCAGAATTTTTCACGTAGCATCTGGGGACTGTCCTGGCAAAAAAAGTAATTTGAAGAATTCTGATGTTTCAAAAAAATAAGCATGATATAAAATTAGGACTTCCTGTAGATTTTTCGTCAAAACAGGAAGTGGGGCATTCATCCTCATAGGTATGTCCGATTGACACCTAGCTTGGGTCCATAGTTCCCCATGTCTTCCTTAGGCATCGTGCACAATTTCAGGCCATCGCCACAAGGTGGCGCTCTTTAAAATGAAGTTTATATCTCCGCATCGGCACGTGTGATTAAAATTAAACTTAGTACGACGCTTGCCCATGGCTCCCTGAGGCTTGCTAAAACATATGTCAACAATCTGCCACTAGGTGGTGCTTTGGTGGCATGTGCAGAAACCGTAATAGTTATGAATATGAAATTCACAGGGCATGTGTAGAGTGGTGCCTGTAGCTCACATACCAAAAATCGTGTTTGTAACTACTCCTAGGAAATTTAGCGGATCTGCTTCAAAATTGGTCAGTACAGTCAAAAAATGTTGCTGAATGAACTCTGTGCTTTTTGTGACTGTACATTGAAGGGCGTGTCCGTGGTGTGACTTCAAAGTTGGCCATTTTGAATTCCGTGGTCTTGTATTTGAACAAACAAACTCCTAGGGAATTTATCAGATCTCCTTCAAAACTGGATAGTACACTTGAAAAATGTTACTGATTACAAGTTGCGCTATTTGTGACTGTACGTTGAAGGGCGCGTCCGTGGCGTGCCGTCAAAGTTGCCCATTTTGAATTCTGTGGTCATTTTTGGTGAGTTCTTGCCTTCTATTTGAATGAACTCCTCACAGGGGACTTATCGGATCTACTTCAAAATTGGACAGTACAATCAAAAAATGTTGCTGACTGAACGCCGTGCAATTTGTGACTGTACGTTGAAGGGCGTGTCCGTAGCGTGCAATCAAAGTTGGCCATTTTGAATCAAATGTCTAACTGTGAAGCCATTTCCGGCATTTCAGGGCTTCTATTTTAACTAACTACTCCTACAGGTTTTATCGGCTCAACTTCAAATTCGATCACTGCAATCTAGACACACTGGTGATCAAAAGTAAATCAAATATTTACTGTGCATCAAACGGCGTGTCCGTGGCGTGGCTCAGAATTTCCCATTTTTGCAGTGAAGAATCTCGCTATGAAAGTGGAAGTCTTTTGCACGGTGTCTTAAACATGTGACAATGTAGAGCGGTCTCCCTCAGCTTCCGGCGATGAAGGCTTGGGCGTGGGGTGACGTGGAGTGGGGTGTGAGGTCCTGAATAATATTTATCTTTGGCTGACAGCCTTGGATATTTCTGTACCAGGGTGTAAATGTGACTGGTTAATTGCTGCCTTTGTGAATCCCTCTCTTTGTGCAGGGAAGTATGTTGGAAGTCGTCCTATCAAACTGAGGAAAAGTATGTGGAAGGACCGCAACATCGAAGTAGTTCGCAAGAAACACAAAGAGAAGAAGAAACTTGGCCTCAGATAGTGTTTATGGCACTGTGTATGTTGTGCTCCCCAGTGGACAGGCAACATGACTTTTATTTTGATCTGTCCAGATATATTTGTATAGGTGATTTCTTTTTTCTTCATTAAATAAAACCATTGTTCCTAAGTTGTTGACATGGTCATTGTTAAATTTGACTGGGTGTGTTTATTTGGTCATTTTCAGGTTTGTATTTGGTGGGGTTTACATGCTTCAATGTTTACAGGGTTGCCACGGGTCTGGAAAGTATGTGAAAATGCTTGATTTAAAATAAATAAATCAAGACCTTGAAAGTGCTTGCATTTACAAGATACTGAACCCCAAATTGCTCCCAATGCTGTGTCATCGGCGTGTGAATGGGTCAATGTGGCATGTAGTGTAAAGTGCTTTCAGTGGCCGGAAAGACTAGAAAGGTGCTTTGTAAGTGCAGTCCATTTAGGTTCTGTTATTTCTGTGTATTCGTGTCTTTTCAGGTAGGCCTATTTTCTCTAAATTTTGCTTACTTAAAACCAAAACTCTCAGATCACAGTAGGTATAGCTACCAAATTTTACACTGATTACTGGCTTACACTGAGCAATAATGGTTTTCAGCCTTTTTTGATATCTTTCATCTTTTGAGGCATTCTATGTGAAAAAGATGTTTTTCTGCATATATGACATTTTCCAACACACTAAAACAAACTATATTTTGACAAATACCTTTGACTATAACCAGCTATAGATGCATTCTTTTTCTCATACTAGCCATTTCTGCAGCACCTCTATTCATCCCATCTGACACACTCCATTTTCACCACTAAAGGACCCCAAAAAGCATAATACAGCCTCTGTAATACATTTGTTATATGTATTCTCATTAGAACTAGGCCACTGTTGCTCCTTCTGTAGTGCCTCCCACCGGACAGCATTGAAGTCAGTTCAGTCATTTCAAGTTAATTTTATTTATATCAGTGTGCAACCTTTTTGACCTTTGAACATTTACATTTATTTGTCATTAGTCTGGTCTTAGTTGATGTCAATAAATGCAGGTCATATATGCTCAGAATAAAACCTTCATGAAATCTTTACTACAGAACAGACAGGTGAGGAAAGAAGATTAAAAGCACTTTATAGGCAGAATAAGGCTTAAAGGTCCAGTGTGAAGAAATTGACTATAATATTGATAGCTGTGTTTTCATTACCTAAGAAGGAGCTGTTTTATCTACAGAGGTAGCGGGTCCTTTTCTACAGAGTTCGCCATGTCAAACTGCAATGTTTCATGTACAGCAGTCCAGAAGTGACAAACCAAATACTGGCTCTACATACAGACTCTGGCAAGTTTCACAGCCCCTTTAGTTTCTCCTAGGTGCTTGGAATGGGAGGGTGAGGCGATGGGCTTGTAATCTGCAACTACACCTTTAGGTGCCACTATATCCTACACACTGGACCTTTAAAAAGTGCAAGTCACATCAGTAGGCAACAGATGTACTGGCAAGCAATAATAATAATGTCAGCCTGTGAAGATAATATTTGAAAGTAAAATCAAACTAAAATTATGGTAAAGACTCCCTATTCAGCATCTATAGTGACTAGTCTTGACATTTCCTGGCAAGTCTTAAAGCTGTTCAAACCACTACACCCTGCAGAATGACATTAGTGCTGACCAGCTCCATCAAACTCCAGTTCCCAACAACTCCGATACAGCTGTCTGTCCATTAAAGATGACATCATTCACTGATACGCCATCATAGGAGGAACCAACCAGAGATAGTGAGAGATTATTCTGCCTTATGAAGCTACGCATAGACTCTGAAAAGACAGAAAGACGCAGTCAGTAAGGAAATTTATGATTCATTTACAGCTGAATTCAAATCTACTGTTAGCCAGCAACAGTGATACACAACTCAGACAAATTTATTTATTATACAATTTAAATTACTTTCTATGTAAAAGTGCAACTCCTTGTGCGTGGGATGTCTGTGAGTGACACGCTGATGAGTTAACTGGCTGTTGGGTGTTAACTTGTAAGGCATCACAAGCACATTTCAACACTCTGAACACTTTACTCCAAATTATGTTTCTCTAAACCTTGTAATTTTGGGGATGTAGAAGTCAGTACTTACTTAATTTCTGAAAGTGTCCTTTATAATACTGAGGTATACAGTCCTGACGAGAGAAAAACATCCAACATTTAAGCACTATTATAACATGCCAATAATACAGTCAAGATATATTATTAGTTTGTGGTTAGGGGACATAAATACATATATGTCCCCTATATACAGTTTGCTAATAGATGACAAATATATTAAGTTACAACTTCATAAACTGTATCATATCAGATGTTACCAGAGAACACTCACACACTCACTCTCTCTCACACACACACACTCCTGTCATACCCTCTGCAGAGCAACCCGACTCCAGCTGGGGGCCTTGGTGACTCCCAGATGGCAGCGCACTGCCTCATTGGCTCTTGCTAAAAGATGCTCCTCTGTTACTGCTTCTGGGTCCCCAAACACTTCTTGGAACCAGGCTCCACCCATCATCACCTGGAAGACATGGTCATGACTTTGGGTCAGAGGAGTGGACTCACTTTAATGGACCAGAGCCTTAGGACTGGAAAGGGTCTTCACTGTAAGAGTTGCATACCTGCTGTCACTGTATATCGTTACAAGCCAAGTGCTGATGCTTTTAACGATATACAGTTGCAGTGCTATGAGAGACAGTATTTGAAAAAAAAAAAAAACCCATCAAGCTAATTTCTAGCATTAACAGGAAGCTATTATCAGTGAAACAGCTTTGAGCTGCAGAACTATATAAAAGGTGATAATACCGTTGTGTGCTTAAAATAATAGCAGTGTGTTTAAAAACGTTATGTGTTGGGAACACTGCACATTATATTCTACATCAAAACATGAAGAAAAATGTATCAATATTTTTATTACTCTACAGGGCTGTTCAAAAAAATAGCAGTGTCTGCATTTTTCATTACGAACTCAAATATTCACTGTATAAACTGTATAAAATCTAGTTGATTTAGCATTCCTATGAATCACTAAACTAAACTAATATTTAGTTGTATAACCACTGTTTCTGAGAACTGCTTCACATCTGTGTTGCATGGAGTTGAGGTATTCCAGCCCAGGATGATTTGACAACATTCCACAATTCCTCTGCATTTCTCGGTTTTGCCTCAGAAACTGCATTTTTGACTAACTTTAATTTTGTTGGTCTGGAACCAAGATGCTGCTCGCTTACTGGTGCGTTTGGGGTCGTTGTCTTGATGAAACGACCATTTCAAGGGCATTTCCTCCTCAGTATAAGGCAACCTGACCTCTTCAAGTATTTTGATATATGCAACTGATCCATGATCCCTGGTATGCGATAAATAGGCCCAACACCATAGTAAGAGAAACACCCCCATATCATGATGCTTGCACTACCATGCTTCACTGTCTTCAGAGTGTACTGTGGCTTGAATTCAGTGTTTGTTTTATCAGTCCACAAAATGTTTCTCCATTTCTCTTTATGCCAGTCGATGTGTTTTTTGCAAATTGCATTCTCTTCAGCACATTTTCTTTTTTTTTTTACAGTGGGACTTTGCGGGGGCTTCTTGCCGATAGATTAGTTTCACACAGGCGTCTTTCAATTGTCACAGTACTCACAGGTAACTTCAGACTGTCTTTGATCACCCTGGAGCTGATCATTGGCTGAGTCTTTGCCATTCTGGCTATTCTTCCATCCATTTGAATGGTAGTCTTCTATTTTCTTCCACGTCTCTCTTGTTTTGCTTTCCATTTTAAAGCATTGGAGATCATTTAAGCCGAGCAGCCTATCATTTTCTGCACTTCTTTATACGTTTTCCCCTCTCCAATCAACGTTTTAATCAAAGCACGCTGTTCTTCTGAACAATGTCTGGAATGACCCATTTTTCTCAGGTTTTCAGAGAGAAATGAATGTACAACATGTGCTGGCTTCATCCTTAAACAGAGGCCACCTGATTGACCCCTGTTTTTTCACAGAATGAATGACCTCACTATTTGAACTCCACACTGCTATTATTTTGAACACGCCCCTTTCAATTAATTATTCAATTACACAGACTCAGGAGCATGCATATCATGAATGTTGGGTTTGTTGGTTTTCTATGACTCTACTGGTAAATTATTTGCCATGTAGTAATATAATTTCTACCAAAAACAGTGATTGATCTGGCTAGGACAGAACACAACTGTATGTTAGATATTTCTTGTTTTTTTTTTGTTTGTTGCGCTGTCCCCAGGTGGCTAAAAAATGATGAAAGCTGCAGTATGTAACTTTTATAAAAATACTTTTTTGTCCTATTTGCTGAAACTTTCACTATATCCTGACAGTAGTGCACGAGACAGATAATCTGTGGAAAAAATCTGGTTCTGGGGAGCCCAAATGGCTCATCTGGTGGAGCTGGCACCCCATGTGCTGGAGCTGGGTCCTTGCTGCAGCAGCCCAGAGTCTGAGTCTGACTTTCAGCCCTGTGCTGCACGTTGTCCCCATTTCCTGTTTATCTTCAGCTGTCCTATTCAATAAAAGGCAATAATGGTATAATAATGGTTCCTCTGGCTCCTCCTAGTACTCCTAATAATATTTGAATCCACCAGTCCTGGACGATAACACCCAATCAGAGCCAAGGAAGATAGTTGATTGTATTTGATTCCCTGAGACTCAACAGACACATACAGACATACAATTATCTTTCTCGGCTAATTGGTTGTTCTTGTTCAGGCCTGGTGCCATTAGAAGAACTAGAACGAGCCAGAGGAACCAGATTTTTTTCACGGATTATCTATCCCATGCAGTACTGTCCGGATATAGTGAAAGTTTTAGCAAATATGACGTATAAAAAATAATTTTTCAAAAAAATTACCTACTGCAGCTTTAACTGTGATGAGTCTTCTGATTTGCAAACAGTGTGTAACATTTCGGATGATCTATTGGAAGGAATGGAATATAATATTTTAATTAGCTATGTTTTCATGTCATACATTAAAATTAGTGCTGGGCAACGATTAAAAATTAAATCGCGATTAATCGCAGTTACGCAAAATTCTGTAATTAATTCAAAAGTAGTGTATTCCGCACTTTTATTTTAAACGTACTGCTATATTAAC